CAACAGAGCGGTCGCATCTTATATAAATCATCAGGGAGGCACCCGAAGCTATTCTCTTCTGATGGAACTATCTCCTATAATGAAGTTTGCGCAACGCCATTTACAAGGGTTGAAAGCTGTTTACCTTCCAGGGCCAGAAAATTTATTAGCAGATTACCTCAGCAGAACAAGGATTCTCCAGGGAGAGTGGAAGTTACATCCGGACGTATTTCAGTTGATTACCCTGAGGTGGGGAGTACCCCAGATCGATCTTATGGCATCATACAACAATACCCAGGTAGAAAAGTTTTACTCTCTACATTCGGATCCTCGAGCAGCAGGACAGGATACTCTGTCCCTTACATGGAAATTCGACCTGGGGTACACATTCCCTCCCCTACCTATGATTTACAGACTACTAAGAAAGATATGGAAAGAAGGTCTGAAGGTAATTGCCATCATTCCAATTTGGCCTGCAGACCTTGGTTTCCTCTCCTGAACAAGATGAGCCTGGAACCTCCTTGGCCTCTTCCTCACAGACCAGACATCTTAACCCAGGGACCGGCTGTTCATCCGAACCCCAACCAGCTGAAATTGGGGGCATGGCTCTTGAAAAGGAGAGACTTCTAGCTCAAGGCATTTCTGAGCCTGTGGTTAATACCCTCCTCAAATCCAGAAAAGGGTCGACTTCTTCTTGCTACCATAAGATATGGGAGGTGTTTCGTTCCTGGTCTCTAGCTAACAACGTTGATTTCCTGCAGCCCTCTAACATCAATATTCTAAATTTTCTTCATACAGGCCTGGAAAAAGGACTGAGCCTTAGTACTCTGAAAGTCCAATCATCAGCTTTATCTGCCCTCTGCAACAAGTCATGGGCATCTGATCCTATTATTGCCAGATTCTTTAAAGCAACAATTCGCATAAGACTTCCGAAAAGGAATTATTCTCCGCCTTGGAATTTACCTATGGTATTAGAGGTTCTGTCTGAAAACCCCTTTGCTCCTTTAGATGAGCTGGGTATTGTCTTACTAACATATAAGACCTTGTTGTTGGTGGCTATAACTACATCAAAACGCATGTCAGAAATCCATGCATTCTCTTGTGATGAAAACCATTTCCAAGTATTCCACGACAGAGTGGTTTTAAGACCTAAACAAGAATTTCTGCCTAAAGTAGTCTCGAATTTCCACATTCTGCAGGAAGTTGTTATCCCTTCCTTTTATCCATCTCCTTCTTCCCCAGAAGAAGTGAAACTTCATCAGTTGGACGTCAGACAGTGTCTACTCAAATACGCTGAAGTTTCAAATCAATTTCGAAAGTCTCATCAGCTATTTGTTCTGCCAATAGGTCCCAGGAGAGGGGAAGCAGCATCTACCTCCACCTTGAGACGCTGGATCTCCAATACTATAATCAAGGCTTGTCAATTAAAAGACCTTACTCCTCCTAGTAAGATAAAGTCTCACTCTACAAGGGCTTTGGCAACATCTTGGGCAAATTGGGCAGAAGTTCCAGTGGACGACATCTGTAAGGCAGCTACCTGGTCTTCACCTCTTACGTTCATAAAGCACTACAAACTGGATTTGGCATCATCCTCGACGGCTTTTGGTAGAGGTGTTCTATCCTCTGTTGAATCAATCTAATTAAACTTTTTTCAGCATTATCTGGTTTAGAGTAATTTATTTTTTCCCCTCCCTATGGTGAAGTTTGGGTATTACCCATAAGTGATGCTGCCATGATTAGCCAGGAATACAGAAAATTTTATCATACTTACCATAATTTTCTTTTCCTGGCTATTATTCATGGCAGCATCAGCAACCCTCCCTTAAGTATTTATGAAGCTTTGGAACTCGACTGTGGGTTGGAAGGAGGAGGGACCTTTTATACCCCAGTCAGGTCCAGATTAATTTCCTGTCCTGTACCTGATTGGGGCGGAGCTAACCCATAAGTGATGCTGCCATGAATAATAGCCAGGAAAAGAAAATTACGGTAAGTATGATAACATTTTCTGTATTTTTCCAGCGCCGGGGCGGGGAGCTCTCCTCCTCTCCGCCTCCCATCCTCCTCTTTGGCTGAATGCGCATGCGCGGCAGGAGCTGCTTGCGCATTCAGCCTGTCTCATAGGAAAGCATTTATAATGCTTTCCTATGGACGCTGGCGTCTTCTTACTATGATTTTCACAGTGAGAAGCACGCAAACGCCTCTAGCAGCTGTCAATGAGACAGCCACTAGAGGCTTTAGAGGCTTGATTAAACCATTTATAAACATAGCAGTTTCTCTGAAACTGCTATGTTTATAAAAAAAAAAGGGTTAATCCTAGAGGGACCTGGCACCCAGACCACTTCATTAAGTTAATGTGGTCTGGGTGCCTAGAGTGGTCCTTTAAGGTAATGCTGACTTTGGTCTCTCTAACACTTTGGCATGTTCCCTTTCTTCTACACTCACTACATACAGCTTTTCTCTGTCCCAAACTATATACCAGGAGCTTCTGTCTGCTAGTAAGAAGGTAAGGACCAGCGAGTGCTAGGGGACAGTCCTTAGAAAGCGTTGAGCGAGCGCATCATTAGATGCATTTATGCCAAGCTCAGGGTGCTGTCTGCATAGTATGCTCTTAGTTGGCCAGCTGCATGATTGGCAGGCAGCCTGACATGCATTCATACCAGGCTGGCCTTCTAATTCTTTGGGCAGACATATCCTCTTTTTGGGCACGTTCGCCCCTTTTGGCAGGTTACGTGATTTGTGATAGTGGCACACCCTTTTACCGTGCCCATTGACTTCCTGCTTGACTGGACACTGCTGTTAAGGGTTATGGATTTACTTGAAAGATGAAAACATAAATTAGTGAGAGATTAGCCTAGGGTATGTGTTTTCTTTTATCTGCTGTTTTCTTTCTCTCCAGCACCATCTCCATCAGATCCATGACTCTTGGGAGTGTTTTACTGTTTTTGGTCAATATGATTCTGTAATTAGGCCCGTCATAATTGTCAGCACCAGGCCCACTGGGCTCTTAATCTGGCCCTGGTTGGGCTGTATTATCACTTACTGAGTCTTGTCAGTTTATGTTCACCATGACATTCACCTATTTGAACTCTACTTTTTCTTAATTGCCCTTTCTCACCTTATTATAATGTCTCCCCACTCATTATTGCTGTGTTATCTAACCCCAGACTTTCTCCTACAGCCTGTGCCCTAAACAACAGCATTTCTAAGTTTGCTAACAGTACTCACAGCTACCAAACATTGCAGCTAAAGCCTTAAGTAAAGGTAGCATTTATGGAAAATTAATCTGCAGAGATGCTCCCGTTCAGCTGAATGCTGCTGGAGGAAGTCTTGCACCTTGTCAGACATTCTCCATTATAAATTCATCTTGCATTTGTACAGCACAGCCCTCACATTTGCTTAACAATCATATTTTTCTTGCTTATTAGTTCATGCTCCCACAATCCCAGGTATATCTTATACCTTAAACTCTTTCCTTCACCCTGCTGCGGATCTCCCCTACATAAACCTTTCAGCTGATAGCTTCACATGCTATTTTATCGACAGGATTTAACAGTTAAGGAAATAATTCTCCCCCTTTACTCCTCTCTCTCAACTGCACCTGGACCATATCTTCAATACCCTTCAGAACTTCTCCCCAGCTACTGAACAGGAGGTTCTCCTCTCCTCTCGTCCCACCACTTGTCTGTTTGATTCCACCCTTCTCAACGTATCAGATCACTCTCCCCTTGTCTTGTGCCATCCTTTACCGCACATCTTCAACTTCTCTCTTTCTTCTGGTGTTGTCCCTGCTCCTCTTAAACATGCTATGTTAGTACCCATCTTAAAAAAGCCATATCTTAACCCATCTTCCCCTTGCAACCATTTCCCGGCTCCATTTGTTGTCAAAGGTTCTAGAGAGACTTTACCCATTTGGCTTGCTTCCTCAATTCCAACTCTCTCCTCAATGTTTTTTCCCCCTTCTTTTTTTTGTGCTTTGCCTGTTTCTATATAAAGATGTTAATCTCTTCAATCCTTTCTTTTTACCGCATTCTTCTCTTTCTCCTTTTCGTCTATTTTCTCTGGGAAAGTGACAATATGTGATTCCAACGAGATTTAAATATATGTAATTCAGGTGCTTCCGATACCCCCAGTAGTAAGGTCGGCTTCACGCCATGCCTAAAAATCTTGTGGCTCGGATCATCACTCTGACGTGTCTCTTGCTTAGCGGTACATATTACGTCCCACACATCATCGCTCCCCCCCGCCAGTCCAGTGTCTCCTTTTTCAATGGCACCTCTTCCCCTTATCCTGTCACCGATGTAGCCCCCCAAGGCTCTGTTCTTGGTCCCCTTTATACTACCTCTCTTGGCAAACTTATTAATTCCTTTGGATTCCGCTACCACCTGTAGGACAATGACACCCAGATATATCTGTCCTCCCCTGGTCTCTCCCCTGCTGTCCTACAACGTGTCACCGCTTGCCTTTTTTAAATCTCTGAATGGATGTTCTTACGCTTTCTGAAAATGTATCTCTCTAAAACAGAACTTATTTTTCCTCCTCATAATACTGATCCTCCACTTTCACTTTCCCTGCAAGTTGATGGTATCTGCATCAGCCAATCCTTGCAAGCTTGCTTGGCCTTACCTTTGCCTCATATCCATTATATGTTGCTAAAACCTGTCTATTCCACCTTAAAAACATTGCCCGCATCCGCCCCTTTCTTATGCAAGATGTTGCAAAGGAACTTGTTAATGCTCTTGTCATTTCTTGCATGGATTACTGTATTTCTCTCTTAATTGGCCTCCCTTGAGTTACTTTCCGTGGAGGCACTAATCATCAGTCCTAAAATCTTTGCAGGTTTAAACCAAGGATACCCCTGTGGTAGCTGTCAGAGTGACAGACACTAGAGGTAGCCTTAGGCAGGAGTGTACACAAAGTGGCTAAATAATTAAACATTATATTATGCTATATATTTACTAATAAATGATAATGGTCTGCTTTCTTTCCTGTTGCCAATAATATGTGCATACCATACTTAACCCCTTTTCTTAACCCCTCAAGGACACATGACATGTGTGACATGTCATGATTCCCTTTTATTCCAGAAGTTTGGTCCTTAAGGGGTTAAACTGATATGTACTTCTAGGGAATAATGAGCTCTTGTAGGATAGGTACTCAAAGAACAAGCAAAAACATAATTTCATAACTCATTACAAAACTGAGTTTATTGGAAGGTATTACAACACTTGTGACACATTAACCTTAAAGCATTACATATACCAACTTGACTTTTCATAAAGCACTCATTCTAAACAGTGGGTTATATAGTCAGAGCAATCTCCTTCTAAAGTACCATGGGCTCTACACATACCAGACTTACAGACAAAACATGCACAGAATGGGATTGTGAGAAAGCAAACCAAAACAGGTAACAGACAACACTGATCAAAAGAAATACATGGACAGCCCGCAGACCAATATCATGGGATTATTGTTATTTTGGTTCCTAACCCCAGACAAATGGAAATGAAACAGAACTTTATTTGCATATATATATATATATATTTTGGTTTATGTCTATTTCACACAATAAATGGGCGGAATTTTACACTGAAGTAAACACTTTACATGGCAAATAAGGATGAGAACCTTGGAAAAATATAAAACAAATTCTAAGTCACTTTGACCATGTAGTGTCCTGCTAAAAGTGGACATATTAATTTTTATTTCTGTGAAAGGACCCACATAAAATTGCTAAGAACACAATACAAATACAAAGAACCTTGAATTCATATTAGATAAATAGGAATTCAGTCCTAAAAACAGGGATTTTTTATCTGCTTAATTTTTTTAACTAAAAATCTACCCTGCCATTCTCTTGTGTCTATGCCAACTATATTTTACTTTGTTGTCCTTTGTAATTTTACTGCAGTTGGTTTTTTTGTGGCTTTTGAAAGCCATGAATAAATGTAAGAAGCTGAATGTGGAAGCACACCTCAAACATTATGCAATTAAAGCAGCAGAATGACTTGCCTACATAATCATAGCATTAATTAAGTCTAGAAACAACCAAATGTAATTTGGTATTTAAGAGAACCCCAAACAATGACTTTCAAAGCAAAGTACAGCATTGTAGAAACTTCCACACCAAACACGGGACCCTCAAACAGTAAGGAAGATAACTTTTATAGGTTTGTAGTTTGTCCATGTTTCAAAGTTAGCGCTCTTATTTAAGAATAGAACTGTGACTCAATGAAATGTAGAAAAGTAGGCATTAAACAGTCCAGTAAAAACAGAAGAAGAAAAAACAGAAAGGAAAAGAATAATGCACTATAAATTCTGAATATGGTCTAACAGATGATCTCACAATTTACATGGTTTTCAACTTTATATAATAAAGTTTTCATACAACAAAAAATTGTGACAAGTTTTTTCTTTTTTTTCTGCCACAAGGAGGTATTTAAAAACACGAGTAACAAGTCTACAGTGTGGCCACCACAAATTATACTAGTAAAATAATTATATGTTTTATGTTTTATTTATATATATATATATATATATATATATATATATATATATATATATATATATATATATATATATATATATATATATATATATACACACACACATACACAGGGCTGGAAAAATATCCCTGAGTCTAACTAGCCAGGCTATAAATATAGTAAGCTACTCAGCAACATAAATTTTAGGCATTATATTTTAAACAGTGGTTGCAATGAATGTATTGTTTGTGTGTGTAGATACAGGACATAACACGCACTATAATAATTATAATGCATATGCATACAAAATCCTGCCGCAGTTTGCAAATATTGCTACGTAAACTTACCCATTTCACTGAATTCAGAATGTATATTGCACTAAATAATCCACATTTAAGATCTGAAATCTTAGGTGAAATCTTTGTTACAATTTCCATCATTTTACGGGGATTATATGAAGAGCAGTATTTGCATAATCCAAACGGTGATCACTCTGTATTAACAGTGTATTGGTGATTATGTCCCAATGTAGAAGGAGATTTCAAAAACACTTTCAAGGTTTCTAAACATACCACCACAGACTGCACCTAAATCTACAGACTTTAAAGCCTTGTCCTTCAATGTATCAGATCCAGAGAGCAACGATTAATTTAGAGAACCCTCAGCAACTCTGAAAAAGATTTAGGGTATTGAGCAGATTACATGGCACAATGGGACAAATCACCATTTTTATAATAAAAAATATAATATTCCCAACATAAACCACTGTGAGAATCCTGGTCTTTGCCACAAAGTACACTCATTAGAAAAGTGTGGATTGTTCCACCCCTGTACATGTGTAAAAACAAGAAAAACAGCAAAGTTGGATGTTAGATGTAGCTCACAGTAACTAAATATTACTGAACAGAAAATAAATACCTAAAAACCGTTAGTGATGTAATGCAGATTAGAGAGGTAATATATTAACAGTCAAAGTGGGTGCACAGTTGCAATCCCCTATTTGCTTTAACGGCTATTCAACTCAAATGTTCAAGATGGTGGGAAACTCAATGGATACAATTATAATAGAACTTAACATATTATTAAGTCAACAAAGCCACTAGCGAGCATACCCATATGTGTTCCTGCATCTGACATAAAATAACTAATAAATACACTTTTAATCCCACACAGTCTCAGCTGACTTTCTATAACTCATGGGAGTATATTTTGACTTGTTAGTAACACGTAAGTAAAGGTTTAGAAACCATAGGTACAGACCAAACAATCTACCAGATAGATCTTCAAGGTTTACTTAACTGTCCACAATCCTCACTTACAATTTGACCTGCTACAGGTTGCAATCCTCATGGAAGTTGCGTAAGGCGTGCTGGAGAGCACGTTGTCATATTACTCTAAAGCTCTGCACAAAATACATTTTTCTGGATCTATATATTGAAGGTCACATGTAGTGCTTTCCTTAAAAGATGTGGGTCAGTCACAGTCAAAACCTGTATCTTGAACTACATATGCGTGTGTAAGAAAATACAGAGAATTTTTATCTGCTTGAGTGCTGGACTGAGAAACTGAGAGAAATAGTAATGTTAGTCAAATACGATACTCCAATGGCTGATGGACCTCAGCTCCCGCAATCTTAAAAGAACCATTCTCTGATAGTACGAGAAGCATTGAAGTCCACTACCCTAAACAATAAGCAATCCAGTATGACTCCGTTGAAGAATAATCTACATTACCGTAAAAAAATTCAAAAACAGAAATGCTTATTTTCAAGTTCAATTGGAAAGAATACGGTTAAAGAAATTCAAATGTGTATGAAAAATTTATAAACCAGTTCTAGGTGTTTTTTTGTTATGATCAAAAATATCAAGCAGAATACAGAATGCTGTGATGTGTCAGTACTTGCACTCTCTAAAACACAGTAACATGCATTACTTGCACGTTCTGTAACATTTACATATATATATGGATTTGGCTCGGAGACCCTCCTCAGATATTTATGTTAAAGAGGGGTTCCCGAATTTTTCTCCTTCATAAATAAATGGCCATGTTGTTATATGTGCCTTTATACTTTCTAACAGTTGGTTCTGATAGTTCTTGCTGTTATGGTTTACCAGATTTACTTTTCTGTGCTTATACTTTCTGCATCACAGACACCTGGAGATAATGCTGTCTCTGACAGGAAATACCATTGCATTGCACGAACTAGCAGAAAAGTGTAACTCCTGGTCATTTATTTGAAAAAGTTCTATCATTCTTTTTCTAGTAAGAAAATATTTAAAGATGTGGTCATCTTTAAAGTAAGTAGTTTCAAGATTGCACTCGCTATTCTGGGAAAGATTAAGGTATCAAAGGAACACCTTCTCAATTAACCAATTCATCCTAATGAGGTGGCTATGAAGCATGGAGTTCCCTGGCACTGTTCTACCTTCCAGTGTTAAACCACTTTAAGCCCCTTCACTTCTGCATTAGCCCAAGAGGAGAGGCATTAGCTCATGCTCTAAGCTTATCAGTGGTCTGTAAGAATACATTCCCTTGCACTACACCACTCACCTGGTGCCCCTTCCTCTCCAAGTAGGAACCATATCAGTTGCACACCCCCAGACACACCTGTGAGCATTTCTGATGCTGTAGCCCCGTTCCTTTTTAACAAGACACAAAGCATCACCCTTGGGATCTCAATAGCGCATTCCTAAGTCTGTGAAATTCTGGTTTCCTGGTTTGGCTTCTCTAACTACTCTGTTATCTGTATGACCCAGCTTAGCATATCGTTATTCTAGGTTTCTTGAATCCATGACCTTGCCTTTTTCTTGACTTTACATTTCACCAACTATAGGCATTGCGCTAAGCCCGACCACTCTAAGGTCTGATAATACACAGCTGTCCTTTGTTTCTCTCGTCAGATAGTATAGTTTTAAGCACTGCGTGTTGGGTTTTTATATTTACCTTGACATGGCCACCCACTGCAAACAAAGGTTCAAAATGTTCATAAGTTTACGAGCAACGGGCAAACTGTAATACACTAAGACCATTAGCTGACATTCTCAGCCTTTCACTGCTGCCCCTTTGCTTTTGCATTAGCTTGAGCACAATAGGAGAGATAACAGACCAACAACTGAGTACTACAGTAGTGAGCTGCCTGAAAAGCATTTAACACTAGAACGAAAGATGGCACCTGGGTACTCCAGGCAACATGGGCTCTTCAGTGAGATGTGCTCCTTTAATTAAAAATTAGAAGAAAAAAAAAATCCTGTTCTAATAAGTTGTACAAATACAACGAGTGATAAAACACAACTGTGTGGGAGAAAAGGGGAGAATAAAACACAAGCATATACTGGCCTATTTATGAAAGATGATCAGAGTAAAAAAAATTAAGTGAAGGAGGGACAGAAGATAAAAATGACAAAGGGGAGTAGTATCAGGAGAACTTCCCAACTGACCAGTATAAAGGAGAGCAGTAGAATGGGCAAAGAGGATGCAAACAAAAGGCATTTCAAGGATATGAGCAGGTGATTCACATTATAAAATCTGAGGGTATGACCATTGAGATGTTTTGCAGGGGGAAAAATTGTAATTTCAGCTAAAGTTATTGCAGCTTAGTAGGATGCAAAAAATATTGGTATTTTTTTTTTGCTCTCTCAAAAAGGACTAATGTAAAGAATGTCAAAGTTGTAGAGATACTAGAAAGAGAAACAATACATCACCATCCACTCTCTAAAAACATATAATAAACTTAAAAAGGCTATAATTAGTGTTTGTTTTGCTAGTGTTTTGTTTAGCTACCTTTGAATGCCTTTATAAGGGTGAGCTAGAAAATATCCAGCCTGTGCACTTATCTCCCTTGACTGGAAGCAGTAGTTCCTAAAATTGAAGATTCAATTTAGTGAATTTGTGATTGCTATACAGTATTCTGTTTGGCTGTTTGCCGAATTCTTTCATTCACATCTTTACCTGAAAAAAGTAATACTACCACATGGCCTTCAGCACTGAACATTTTTAGCACTCTCAGCAGACCAACTAAGAACACAATGTTAAAAGCCATAGAATTATCGTGTTAGGTTAGTCTACATAAAGCACACACCGGAAGTATTACTGCACTAGAAATTGCGTCTAGAGATTATATATTGAAGCTAGATGTTTACAATAGATTGTAAAATATATCCAAAAACCTGAAGGAGATAGTACACAGAAAAAAGAACTACTACTCAATAAATAACATTTTCCAAGTCTACATTGCTAGGCAATTTTTAAACATAGAAATAGGAGGTTTCTTGAGGTTTTAAACAATCAACTGATACTGAGATCAGGCTCAAGGATATCAGAAATACCATAATTTATATACAAACTGGGAATATTTATATATTTAAACGTAAGGCGAGGAAACAGAACAAATGATTCATATTTTAGATATCTCTAAAATATTTTTCATTTTTGAGGTACTTTCTTTCTTATGCATCTTTACATCTTAAGAGTAGCACCTGTCAACTAGTCCAAAACTAGACTAACAGTGGAATTAGCCTGCACGTGAAGAAGTGTGTTGTTTGTAAAAATAGTAGACTTTGTGAAGAGGAACAACTGTATTTCCAGGCACTTTATGGTTAGTACAGCTGAGACACCTTTCCTTTCAGTGAATCAGCCAAATCCTGATGTATGAATTTATCGATCAGTTCATAAGGACATGTTTGTTATCTATTTTCTTCTTTTTCTTGGTGTGTGTTTGCTCGTGGGTAAGCAGATTAATCTTCTGTGCAAAGCCTTTCCCACAAGTAAGACACACAAATGGCCTTTCTCCAGTGTGAAGCCTCTGGTGGGTTGTGAGGTTGGCTTTCTGGCTGAAGCTTTTCCCGCACTCTGGACATTCAAAAGGTTTTTCTCCTGTGTGTATTCTCTCATGTCCAATAAGATTACTATTATTTTGAAACCTTTTGCCACAAAATTTACAAACAAATCGTCTTTCTCTAACAAGTGTTTTTTGACTTTGCATGAGGTTGTTGCTTGGATTGGCATTTTTTCCATACACAACACATGTTATAGATTTTCCCCCTGATATAACATTTTTGATGGAACCAGCATGTGAATTTTTTTCTTCAATAGACAGTTTTTGGCCATGTTGAGGTTTCTGATGGCTTTTAAATTGAATGACACATCCATTGAACTGTTTCATTTTCATTCTGTGGCTTGCTTGATGAAGCCTGAGATCAGATATTTTAAAGAATCTTTTCCCACATTCGGTGCAGTTAAAGCCTCTTTCTGGCTCTTTTGGACCTTGAGAACCAGCCATATAGCGTTTAGGAGTGATTTCTTCCTTTTGACTAACTGACCACCTCAACATTCTTTGGCAGTATCCAGTGTTTTTCAAATTGTACTGAACTTTCCCTTTGTTTTTTGTAGGAATGTTTCCTAGATTAAGTTTCTGATTACCGAGTTCTCTCTGGTTAACCGTTCCATCTTCTGTTGGAAAAATAAGAAAAATATAAAAGAAGCAAACAAAAAAAGAAAAAAAAAACTTTTATATACTCTGAGAAAAAAACTCAACATCAGAAAATAAGTAGTAATACTGTGTTTTAATGTCTTCAATCAAATAAAACTACCAGTACAAGGTTTTATTGAGGTTGTTCATTTTTTTTATTTAGACAGTGATGCTATAAGAGTGTTGTAATACAATTTACATCAGGACTAAGAGAGCTTAGGGAAATTTTAACTAGGGTATTCTGTCCTACATTTTGCAATTCCACTACCTTATCACAGTATGGTAAATAATTCAATTTTGTATAGCAGAAATTAAAATTAATTTATTGTACTAGGTACAATATGTACCTTTATATGAACAGTTATTTATATTGTATATTGAGATAATGCATGTTAATTATCCATGCATTTATACAGAACAGATAAAATATATCTGCATTTCAACATTTCCCATAAAACCACCTATATTTGTTTAGATATAACAAAATGTATAAATAGAAAATATAATCAGATGTTTGAAACTTAGATGCAGAGTGAATATCCATGTATCAAAAATTAACGGGTAACTAAAAAAGATCTCTACAAATATGACAGTGCAATATATTTAATGACGAATCAGTATTTTTATAAAAAAAAAAATATATATATTAATGAAAGCTAGAATATATGGTAATATATTTCATCACAAAATGCAAGAAAGTGCATAGTGCATTACCGTCCAAAACCTTATTTTTTTATAAGGCTTATATAAATGAATAAGTAAAGGACATTGTTACAAGTAATCTGTTGTCATAGTACAAAGTTTAATATAGATATTTAACAAACAAAATAACCGCACAGAACTTCAAACAATGCATGGTTAAAAGGTTCCTTTATTAGTCGAATCTAAAAACATCTGTCCAAATAAGAATAAAGCAAAAAGAAAAAATGAAGTGAATGTGAGAAAAAAAACAACACAGCACCTAAATTGCAACCATATACTGCTTTCCTGTGTTTTAAAGACAGGGAACCACCCCCTGTGACGTAGTTGGGCCAATGGGCCCAAATACTGAAATATGCTGGTAATATATATATTTGTGGGTCAGGCCCACTCTTTTACCTATATTGACCAACAATTTTACAACTAGTTCTCAGGTGCCAAATTTACCTTTTTACTACTTGCAAAGTTTTCCCGATGTTAGGACACGCTATGTCAGTTTACAAAACTGATAGGGTGGCATAGCACACTCTAACAATCGAGCCCTCCTTCAGCCTGTATACTTGACAACGGAGGGAGTCCTCCTGCAGCCAATCCTGCTGATCTGACACATGACTATAGTCATGATTGGCATGATTGACAGATTGCCTGCAGAGGGCTGCATGGGTTGTCAGGCAGATCTCCCAATATATAACTAATAAAAATAATATAATTTTGCACAAATAACAATTAAAATACAATTTCTTAATTTCTCACACTTTTTTTTTTTTTAGATTTTATTCTTATTAAACTTGGTTTCATATATAAATATTTGATGTGAAAGTAAAGCCCTATTTCTCCTGAGCAAAATAATATATAATAAGTGTGGGTGCAGTTAATATGAAAGAGGCAAATTATGGTTTAATAGACATACAGCTCAAATTCTAAGTGGTGTTTTGGTTAAGACTTAGACAATTGTCTCTGTTCTAAGGGGTTAATATAATTATCTTCGTAAATACAGAATTACAAATATGTTCTGCTGTGCTAATGTGCTGATTTAAAGAAATATTTGTAAATCTTGGTGTAAATCCCTGTTCTCCCTCTGCCAATAGTAAAAACCCATTAAAATTGTTTATGGATATCATAGATGGGTATTTTCACCTACTAATTCTATTTTTTTGGTACATCAAGACATCAGGAGTATTACTGTTAAATAGTCTAATGGGCATAACCCTCCTTTTTAAGTCAGAACTGGCACTTCTTTGAACCTCACAGTTTTTCAATCACCCACCCAGTAAATGCTACTAAAGTGCTTACTGGGTCAATAGTGAAATGAAAGTATGTATAAAGCACACATTTCCATAGCACTTAATTTCAAGGGTGACACCATCTCCCCATAATGTGCCATGCATGCTTAGGCATGTTTAGAAAAATACTATTTGGGCATATCTTCCACAGTGCCGTACATACTTATATGATCACGTGCATGGCACTGTGGGGGTTAAGTTAATTTGCATAATATGCCCTGGCATATACTGTAAAGGGAAAAAATATATAGCATAAGTAAACACTGTATTTTACCAAAATCTGTTTAAACAGTACAGTGTTTCCTGAAGTAAAGATTCCTTCTGTTAAGGAACATGACTGAATTATTAACAACACTTTTTAACATAGATTTCAAACCTGAAAAAAAAAGTTCTTATTAATCCATAACTCAATTTTAATTTAGGCACCACAAAAAAAAACCTCACCAACCCCCTCCCCCCCCAAAAAAATACTTTCCATATGGAGTCCCTTTAAACACTGTTGGATGCAGCAATTTAATTTTGTGAACAGCTGTATCATAATGCAATATCGCCTTAATGCATAAAGCAATTCCAGAAATGATTTATTAATATCGAAGTTTGCCCTGTTTATACTATTCCAGGAGGTATTAAATGTTAATCTAGTCACAAGACAATAGTATGTAGCATTGTAATATGTGTTACCAGTGCAGCAGAAAAAAACTTTCTGGGTTTGTAATATATTTAAAAATATTATATGAATAAGCAGATAGTTCTGCCAGCCTTCAAGGAACTCTAAGCACTATAAAGATTTTATCTCATTGAATTGGTTATAGTGCCTGGTGTCCCCTGGCATTATTCCTCCATTCAGTGTTAAACAATTTTTGAGCAGTTTAATACTAAATAAGGGTCCCAGGCTACCCACAGCCTGGGCATTAATGGAGATATGGTTAAGGCAGAGATTTTACTCTTCCTTTTAGCCATACCAATTCATATCAGCAATGGGTCCTGTGATAGGTTGAAAGTGATAAGCTGGCACTCTCAGCTAATCAGCCTAATGCTTCCTCATTAGCACAAGCAACATAGAGGAGATTGGCTGATGTGGACTCTCATTCATCATTAAAATATTAAAAACAGTTTGACACTGAATGGAAGGATGGCACCATGAGACTCCAGATACTATAACCACTTAAATGAGATGAAGCAGTTACAGTATCTACAGTGACCCAATAATGCAGAACTGTCATATTGTTTTTCTTTCAGTATTCCTGCCCTTATGCCTTGGGTATTTGAATTTATACATACACTGATCAACCACAACATTAAAACCACCTGCCTAATATAGTTCCCCTTCGTGTTGCCAACACAGCTCTTATGCATAGAGAAAGTGACTCCACAAGACCTTTGAACGTATCATGTGATATTTGGCATCAAGACATTAGCCATAGATCCTTTAAGTCCTGGAAATTGTGAGGTGGGGCTTCTATTAATCAAATTTGTTGTGCCAGTACATTCCACAGATGCTAAATCGGATTGAGATCTGGGGAATTTGAAGGCCAAGGCAACACCAATTACAATGGCTTTTGCAGTGTGGCAGGGGACATTACCCTGCTGAAAGAGGGCAATGCCATTAGGGAACACCATTGCCAACTACATGATCTGCAACAATCTCTAGGTAGGTGCTACATGTCAAAGTAACATTCACATGAATGCCAGGACCCTAGTTTTCCCAGCAGAACATTGCCCATTGCATAGCACTGCCTCTGCTGGTCTGCCTTCTTGCCATGATGCATCCTGCTGCCATCCCATCCCTAGGTAAACAACGCACACAGACTAAGTCACCCACCTGATCTAAAAGAACACATGATTCATCAGACCAGGAAACCTTCTTCCATGCTCCATGGTCCACTTCCCACGGAAGGCGCTTTTGGCAGTGGACAGAGGTCATCACGGGCACACTGCCCGGTCAGTGGCTATGCAGACCCATATGCAGCAAACTGTGATGTACTGTGTATTTTGACACCTGTCTATCATGGCCATCTATACATTTTTTTGCAATGTAATATATAGTAGCTCTTCTGTGTGATTGGACCAGATGGACTAGCCTTTGCTCCCCATGTGCGTCAATTAGCAGTGGTTCACGGTTTCCCTTCCCTGCACTACTTTTGGTAGGTACTAACCACTGCATACCAGCAACACCAAACAATACTCATCGCTATCTGGCCCATATCAAAGTCACTCAGTTCTTTTTGCTTGCCCATTTGCTATCGATAGGTGCAATTGTAACTATATAATTAATGTTATGGCTGATCATTGTGAGTATATGTACATATATATATATATATATATACACACATACATACGATGTGGGTAAAAATACTTTAGGTGGGTTTCCAGGTTTTTACAAAGCCTTGCTTATCTTGCAACTAAAACACAATTGTTCTACATGTAATAATTGAGAAATTGTATGAGCAGTCACCAGTTGTTTCCCTATTTTGGAAATAATTAACTTTTAAAAGATTTTTCTACATGAGTTGTCATGGATTTTGTGAGACTGCACCTTTGTCAAAAGCGTTTACAACAAAATAACTATGTAAATGGCTTTTATCTCTTGTGAGTTCTTGCATGAACCTTCAAGTGTTCTTTCTTAGTGAAACTTTTTTGGCAATGTAAACAATGAAAAGGCTTTTCACCTGTATGAATTCTCTTGTGCTGAATAAGGCCAGAGTTATCTATAAACCGTTTGCTACACAGAGGACAAGCATAAGGTCGCTCTCCTGTGTGAGTTCGAAAATGAACATTCAGATTTGACTTCTGACCAAAACTCTTCTCACAAAGAGAACATTTATAGGGTCGCTCTCCTGTGTGTGTTCGTCTGTGATTGATCAGGTATGCTTTTACTCTGAAAGTTTTCTCACATTCAGAGCATCTGAAAGGCAGTGCACTTTTTAGCTTTAAAGTATTTGTAATGGTGCCAGAACTGATCACACATGGAGCAGGCGGATTTGGTCTGTTTTCTGGAATGCATGTTTTGGTCATATGCGGTGTGTTCGTATTCTTCTGACTGAAACCTTGCAGAACATTTTCCCTGTTTTTTCCTGACAGCTCGGGCAGATTGTGTTTATTAACGTAACCATCTGGAGGCAAGGGACACTTAATTCTGTTGATTAATGCATCTTCTGTGGGATTAAAATACAAGTCGAATAATTACACAAATAATTGGCCTGGATGGGGGAAAAAAAATCATTTTCTATCCATTAAAACAAGGTAAAAGTAGATTTTAAAAAAAACAAATACAGAAGTAGCCAGGTTAACCTGTTTATACACGTCACATTTTCGGACAACCGGAGCAACCTTTTTGATTTGACATCTACAATTGGTATCAAAATTGTATATATGCCACTTGTTGAAATAAATGGATTTAAAAAAAGAAAAAAGAAAATAAAATAAAAAAGAAACTGTGAACCTGCTCCACAAATACATTGCTGATATTTATTTTGGTTTGTTTTCTTTTCAACTGATTGTGGAAGGCATTTTTACAACTGTAAAACAGGTTGTTCAACAAACACTGTTTAAACAGTTTTATTTGTAGTTGGATAGGTTTCATTAGAGTTTAACAAATGTTTACAGCAAGTCCACAGAAACATTTTCAGGAGATCTGAATGTACAAACAAAAACTACAGAGGAAAGAGGTATTGGTATAACATAACCATTTTATACATTGAGTGTGACATGCTAGAAGGTCACAATTCGAAGGGCATCACGTAAACCATACTGCAGAATGAGACCATACTTACCAATTGCATAATTAGCAAGATTTCTTCCACCGAGACCTACATTTTCAGTGTTACATAGTTGATCCTTTGATTTGATTCTTATGGTAACCGGCTCGATTTTGGGGAAGCCTAAAGAGGGAAAGGAAGCGCAACTGTACTAAAGAAGCAAAAATAAATAAACCACACACTGTCAACAAGGCACAAAAAGAGAGAAAAAAAAGCACTAGCAAATAGTTCTGATTTTTTAAATCCTTGCCCTTATTTTAAGCATAAGGGTCTGAATTTTAACCTTCCAGATTTGGATTTCAGCCATATAGCTCCTTTGGGTCCACTTGAAAAGTGGACAAAAATTCTGGTTCATTCGGGCATGATTTGCAAGATCCAGACATTGTTACATACTGTGAACAATATTGTTTTGTTAATTTCTCTGTTAATTGTAACATACACACATCAGCCTCCTGCAGACAATTAACAAAGCAGGAGATAAATTCCAAATAAAACTATGCAATAAAGGAAATTTAGATCTCTCTCTACAGGAAGTGTGTAGAGAAGCTGTGTCACAGGCAGGGGATGTGTGACTAGGACTACAAACTTAAAGTGATTTAACTCCAAAATTGCAGAGAATTGAGCAGTGAGACTGCAGAGGCAGGATCTATACACCAGAACTGCTCCATTAAGCCAAAGTTGTTTTGGTGCTTAGATAGTCCTTTTAACATATATTTAACACAGTTATAGTTTATACCAGTAGTGCCAAAAATAAAGAATCTTCAATGGTGTAGAACAACAACTCCCATGATGATTAGCCAGTCTTTGAAGTATAAAAGCTTACTCCCTAAACCCCTGGTTTATACAGTAGCAAGCAAAAGGAACTTAAAAATTGTCTGTAAAATTAAAAAATAAATATAATGTTTAAAAAGAAACATGGTACTTCCATATAACCATGCAAGTGCAATGTAAATGCTATATCATCTGACTACAACCACTAAACCAACAGAAAAGAATTGCAAATGATTATTTTGTATTTTTATTTATTTTTGGTTAAAAAAAAAAAAAAAATCACAATAATGAAACTTACTTTTTACAGGGAAACCTTTGTCACATGCATTAAAGGGTTTCTTGACAATAAACTTTTGTGGCACAGGAACAGTGTTTGCCTTGAGTAAACCAGAGGAAGATGCTCTTTGTCCCTGCGCTTATGTAAGGAAGGTAAAAGCCAAAAAAGACACAACAGTTAGATTTAGGCAGCTTCAGTTACTTCTGTCATTTCATGTAATCCCAGACAGATATATATAGATATATAGATATCTATATCTATATATATATATATATATATATATAAAAATAAAAATCACAATAATTTCTGGCACTCATCCCATAACAAAAGCATTAATTTAGCAATGACCAGGTGCCTCTCTGTGCAAAATATACAAATGGAACAAATTGAGAGCACTCATTGGATTTAGTAAACAAAAAAATATATTAAATCAAACGCATATAAATCAACGTTTCGACCGTCTAGCGGTCTTTATCAAGATAAAGACGGCTAGACGGTTGAAAAGTTGATTTATATGCGTTTGATTTAATATATTTTTTTGTTTACTAAATCCAATGAGTGCTCTCAATTTGTTCCATTTGTATATATATAAATATATATACACACACACACACTGTATACTACCATACAATACTAGACCATTCCATTACACTGCAGATATGTGGCATGGTTAATTTTTTTACCCACGTTTATAACTCACCAGTTGAAATCCTGATGTCATGTTTTGCTTCCATGTGTATATTGTTGTTTGAGGAGTGTTGTTGAAAGTTACCCCTTCGAACAGTTGGTTCACTGCAAGGATAACCTTGAAGAATAAAAAATAAAAATCAGAATTCCAAGAGATACTCAAAGCACAATATAATCTAATTTACAAAACCATTAAAGGGACACTATAGTCATCAGAACAACTAAAGCTTATTGTAGTTGTTCTGGTGAGTATAATCATTCCCTTCAGGCTTTTTGCAGTAAACACTATCTTTTCAGAGAAAATGCATTGTTTACATTACAGTCTAGTGGCCACTCAGATGACTACTAGAGGAGTTTCCTGGGGCAGTGCTGTACAGTGTGCAATACGGCCATTCAGTGTCTCCACCCTCTGCATGTAGACACTGATCTTTACTCATGAGGAGAAGCTGATTGGCCAGGGCTGTGTTTGACTTGTGCTGGCTCTGTCCCGGATCTGCCTCCTTGACAGTCTTAGCCAATCCTATGGGGAACAGTAAGGTGTAGTTGCTCTGGTGACTATAGTGTCCCTTTAAGGTATTTTTGGACAGCATAGGAATTTCAATGAAATTCCAAAGTAGTCTTGATCAGTATTTCATAAAGAATATATATTTATGAAATACTGAAAAGTCAAAGATCCACTTTAAAGGGACACTATAGTCACCAGAATAACTGTAGCTTAATGTAATTGTTCTGGTGAGTATAATCATTTCCTGCAGGTATGTAAACACTGCCTTTTTGGAGAAAAGGCAGCACTTACAGTAGCCCCTAGGGATAACTTTAACTCCTCAGATGGATTGCCGTTCAGCGTCTCCATGGGCGCTGAACTTTTCTCATAGAGATGCATTGATTAAACCCATCCTGCCTCCTTGACTATTTCAGCCAATCCAATGCTTTCCCTATGATTGATGTCAGAAAGGAGGAGGATCAAGGGCAGGGTTGGAAATAAGGTAATTACCTTTTAAGAGGGTTAAGGGGGGAGGGAGGGTTTAAACACTATAGGGTTAGGAATACAAGTTTGTGATCCTGTCTCTATAGGGTTCCTTTAATGGGACTTTCCATTTGGTAACATAATCCCAAAAGAACCAATTGTTATGACAACACAGACCATATTACTAAGGGACTGTGTCAGGAATCCTGGAACCTGAACACACAGACAGAATCGCTAAAGGAATAAGTCTGTTATACCGGTCCTTAGAATGGCCAGGTTAAACAAACAAACAAACAAAGTCAGTATAGCAAGGCGACGTCAAAGGAATACAGAGATCAGAGAATACAATAAAACAAGCCATGGTCAATATAATAAAATAATAAAAAAGTACCAAATTCGGCACATGAAAATGACGTCAGGGGTCAGATTAGGAATATCAAGTACCTATTATATATCAAATATATATATATATATGTATATATATATATATATATATATATATGCATCACTTACACCTGATTGGTCATTTTCCATTTGGAATTGACCACTATTCGTGGAAGGTACTTGACCTTCCTAATCTATACCCTGATGTCATTTTCATGCGCCGTATTCGGTCTACCGAATTCCACGTTCAGTTCGCAAACGCCGAATTTAGTACTTTATTCAGGCGCATACTTATACAGTCGGACAGAATGCCAGAGGGGATCGCGGAACTCGGAGCATCAGTGGGAGGTAAGCTGGCAGGAAGCCTGACAGATTGAAGGAAAACTACAGACAGTGGGCACCGAAGTCAGACAGCACAAAGTTTTCAGCTTTATACAATTCTACTTACATTTGGCTGAACTGTCCAAAGTTTCAATTTCAGAAATAATTGCATACTCTTCTAGAGTAGTTTCTTGTTTAATAGCGGTGTATTCCCCAAACTTGTCAATAAATTTACCTGTTAATACCAGAATAAACATTGTTGTGCAAAATACAACCCGTTACAAGTAACAAGACAAATCTTAAAGCAATATACATTAAAATAATCTCAGTAAATAAAACATACACAATATTTAATTAAAAAAATTATTTTTTAAGCAGTTCAATACAGTTTACCCCTACAACTACACATTTTGTTAACACTTGCAACCTTCCTCGTCTATGATTATCTCCTCTATTAACCTTGATTTTAACTCTTGCACAAGAGTTGATGACATGGTCCTGAGAGATGAAATCACTAGTAGCCTAAGAGAACAAAGATGGTGGAGTTTAGGTAAGCATATCTAGCTTCCCCTATCTTCTATGGGCACCAACACGGAAATCCTAGTGCCAGCTTTAGGCATCTTTGCAAAAAAAAGAAATGACCCCGCAAGTCATATTTATTCTTCTGGACTGGTTGATCTGTGTAATAATTTTAAGAAATAATACCCTGATCAGATTTGAAAGGGAATACACTCCTTCTATAGGACTTTATTGGAATCAGAGAGGACATTAATATTAGATGTATGTCATAGATGCCATACAAGTGACATGTTACTTGGCAGGTAAGTTGAAATGTACTACAGACATTTAGCGTACTATAAGTAATATGCACTTTGATGTTTACAGTGCCGTTATGGACCTGTTCCACCCTTTCCTCTGATGTCCATCTTATGTTATATTTGTAAAAGTCCTCAACATGTTATCCCTACCTCCTGTGTAGCAGAGCCCACAGATTTGCACATATTTTTCTGAAAAGTACATGTAAGAAGTCCAGAAAAGCATTATGGGCAATGTGAAGACATCTCATTCATGAAGAAATCTATAACTAGAAAACATTACAATGAGAAGATGCATGTGCAAACTGTCTATCAGGGAAAATAAAATCTGTGCAGAGGTGGATGGAAGCCTGACCTCACTTTTAAAAATCTGCTGACTTCTCTCACTGCTCCTGCAATAGGAGACCCTCATTCTACTATGAAATCATTAGAAGAGACAAAGTTGTATTTCCCTTTATTGGTTAAAAACAAGCAAACACCCCTCAATTTTTACACACTGCAATACTGCTGACCACTGTTGAAAACTACAATCACTTTTCTCTATTCTAGAATTAACGTAAATAGTATTTGGCTTCTGAAAAATAAACAAATGCTTTTTTTTAATCTTTAAGTTTTGTGGCTTTTACTATTCTCCTATACAAGGCTTGTGGGACACTGAACACCATAACAAGGCAGACATCCTTAAAGGAACACTATAGGGTCAGGAACACAAACATGTATTCCTGACCCTATAGTGCAAAACCCACCATTAAGGTGGCTTGCCCACCCTTTACCCCCCTTAAAAGCATTAAAACGCACCTTACTTCAGCGCCGTGCGGGTCTGCCGGCACTGGCCCGCCCCTGGTGACATCATCAGAATTGCTGGTTTTTAGCCAATTCAATGCTTTCCCATGGGGAAAGCAATGGATTGGCTAAAATCGGCAATGGGATGGGACCAAACACTGTTTTGGCCAATCAGCACCTTCTCACAGAGATGCATTGATTCAATGCATCTCTATGAGGAAAATTCAGCATCCCCATGCAGAACGTGGGGACGCTGAACAGCAGAGCTGCATACTGTGCAGCACTGAGCCAGGAAGCACCTCCAGTGGCCATCTGAGGAGTGGCCACTTGGAGGTGTCCCTAGGTGCATGAAAATGCTTGCATATACTGATTATACTCACCAGAACAACTACATTAGGATGTAGTTGTTCTGGTGACTATAGTGTCCCTTTACTTAATCCGTCATACAGTAAAGCTAGAGTGTTATTTCTCATATGTATAAAGAAGCTTACTTGTACTTGGAACTAATACATTTCTTCCTCCATCTTGTTTGTAGAAATCTGCAACACGCTGCTTTTCACCAGGCTGGACAGTTAATAAAATATCAGGATTCACCAAACCACAGTCTGGGTACAACAATAACAAAAAATAATGATAAAAAAAAGCTCCACCAATATATCAAAGTGGAGAGTAAGAGACAAAACACACTAACGTATGAGAACATAATTTAAACATATTTTTGCTGGTCAAACTTAAAAATATTTAGAAAACAAGCTCTAGGAAAATGTTTACCTTTCTACACTATAATAGTAATGAATGTTGATACAAAATGTACAGTTTTATGGTGTTGATGACAAAAGGTATATCCAGGCAGGTATTTACTTAACCCCTTAAGGACCAAACTTCTGGAATAAAAGGGAATCATGACATGTCACGTGTCCTTAAGGGGTCAATCTACACACGTACTGGTGAAGTCACTCATAAGATGTTAGCAGTAACCCATGCTGTTATGAACTGAGATAATGCACACATCATCAGGGCAAACATATTTCTAATCTTTCACCTACATGCCAATAACATGAAAGTAGATGCTAATAAGACTGACACACACACAAAAAATATCTGCAAGACAAGTATGACCAAGTCTGGGTAAATGTATGTAGAACTGGGTGACTGATGGAGAACTTTTTTATGCTGGAGTGTTTGAAATACATTGTTTTGGTGTTTTTTGTTTTTTTTAAACTAGAAAGCAAACACTTTTAAACAAATATACAAACCAAATTAAAAACTTTGAAAAGCATGTAATAAAGGTTTAAAGACTTACAATAACCTAGGGGAGTTTCTTCAGCCCCCCCCCCCCTCCTTTTTACCCACCCATCTCAGTTTCAGATCAGTCCACTAGTGATTTATGACTCTTTATAGTATGTAAAATAGTGTCCACAATTGGAAAAATATGTTATGAGTTTGATGACTCATAACATCAGTCGCTTTTTAGAATAGACAGAACAACTTAAATTAAATTATGTCTCCTATGTCTAAGGACCTGTAGGTCCAAAAAATGTTAGGTGTTTTGTGTGACCTTTCCCCCCTGTTTGTTACTTTTTGCTTTGTGCCAATTAAACCTCCTGTGGATTCTGAGTGCTTGGAGTGGCAGTATTTAGATTTTTTGTTGTTTTTAGAATAATAAAGACAAAAAATAAAATTTGGGGCAGACCTGTCACATTCATTTCTTAGGAATAGTGCTGCCCTAGACATCATAAGGTATACATAATACAGATTTAAGAACAGCACACACACATAAAAATACAGTTGTCAATAATTTTTTATTTTTTTAATGCTTTATTTTTGGTGCAGAAGATTTTACAGGCAGGCCCGTGGAGCCATGACAGCAGACACGGTTGTGACATTATACAGTTGCACAATTATTTTTTTAAATCATGAAAATAACAGGCTAATAAACATTGCTTATATAATTTGACATGCTAGAGTAATTAAGTAATTAAGCATATTAATAGTTAAACGTAAGTTTGAAATATTATGCATCTTTTGAGAACACAGCACAAGATGTTATATTTAGGGTATTATAGATAGTTAAACGTAACACTTGACTGACTAAGTGGAGAATGTCTCGGTGACTGAATGGTTGCATTACGTGCTAGGTAGATTAGTAAGAGCGATTAACCCTAACAACACTTTTATAAAAGAAACATGGGTTGGTCAAGACAATGTAGTTGATTAAGATAGTAGTACTGGTGTACATCAAGAGAAACTAACCGTCAGGATTAACTAAGTAAGACATTTTTTTTTGGCATAGGAGGCCGCACATTCTTTATATATATATATAACAAGCTTGACTGACCCTTTATATTATCAGAGTAACATTTAAGTAAATAACGTTTGGTAGTGCTAGATTGGCTATGCTAATGTAGTTATGAAAAGAATAAGCTGTTGTGCCAAGGGCTAACTGTGACGGACCGCTGGCACTCTGACTGAGTACCTCCGCCAATCGATGCTCCTAGTGCTCGCTGAGGACTCCAAGCACTCCAACCGACACCATCAGCACGGCAGACCCCACTTCCAGCGATGCAGCTGCACCGGGGTCTCGCCGCTTCCACCCACCCTGGACCCAAGGCCAGGCTCCAGCTTCCAGTGGGTGAACCTCTCTTTCCCCAGAGAGTGTAACAGGAACAGAACAGCTCTTACAAGAGCTCAGTGATTATAGCAAGAGAGTATGACGAGCATAACAATCCCTTGTAGCAGATTCACCCAATATGAGACAGGACTCAGATTGAGGGTGAAGAAGAACTGAGGTTTTTAATGACACACACTCTGCTTTTATGCAATTCTCCCATGCAAGGGAGACGCCTACAGACAATTATGAATTACCCAATCACACACTGGTTACATCCCACACATCTCCTCCCCTTAGCCTGTGAGGTAACACAATTAGCCATACAGTTTAAAACATACTTTTTACCCAACTTTCATAACTCTAAAACTATACATCCAATGTATTATTAATTAGCATTTTTCAAATACAAACATACCCAAAAATCATTTGAATCCGTTCAGCCGTTCGGGAGATATAAGTCACCTTTGACCGACCGCAAGCACATTTTCATGCCCAAAACAGTTCCAGAGAATCAAGCTGTGCGGCCGGTCTATTTCCCATGTTAAAGTCAGTTCAAGCAGACGAACGACAACCATTCGAATTGTCCAATGAACGGTCGAATGCATTAGTTCTAGGGAAGGTAAAACTTCAACGGTGTTCGCACCGTTCTGTAGGCGATTTTAGTTCCATGAGTTTGACGGCACACACCGCTGACTGCATTCGAATGAATCAAAATGGCCGCCACCACGTGTGCGTCGTTTGCGGGCTCCCTCGCAGAGGAGAGCGGTTGTTTTTCCCTGTCTTCAGCCCTAGTCGCCGCATTTGGGTCTTTGCGTCTCCAGCTGCCCCGGGGTGGTCTCGTTAGGTTCAGCGGGGCACCCCCGACGTGGGAAGTGCACCCTCGGGTTTCTATGGGTTATGTAGCTGCAGCTTTTATCCCGGATTCTGCCTGAAGGGCCGGAGCTCTTGTCAGGCACATCTGCTCAGCTCAGCAGTCAGGCTCCGCCCCAGTTGTCAATTATTTTAAGGCTAGTTAAAATCACCTATCTCAACACATATGGGAATTCAGTTCCACCATATAACGATATGACCATATCGTTTTAAGCTCACCACTCACCACCAAATATCGGTGGATCCTACACTAATTCCAACATGGGAGACAAATTAAATTGAGCTAGTTCTAAATAAACTAAAATTAGTCTGTTGTAAGAACATTATTTAGTTCACTAATTTAGTTCAGAGAAAAAAAAATATTCCTAAAACTAGTTAAAGACGAATTAGCTGAACATAAATATGTTGATTTATGGGTGAGACAAACATAAGGATTTGGACTAATTCTTTATTGATAATCCCCCTTTTAATACCCACCATTTTTTTAAACAAATATAATTTCTGGGTTGCCATTGTTTACCATCAGTAAAATTACTTGATTGGGTACTCTTAAGAGCTACTATTTACTTTTTACACAGGAATTTCAGAGTACCTAGCAGATGGCATTATTCCTTTCAATATAGCAATATTCATATGTAATCACAGCTGACTGGCTGGAGATAGATGTACCATCATGCATACGCTAATTTGTTTACCATTACAGCTGTGAGTCTTTAGGGTAAGTCTCTAGCAGCTTTGCACATTTCAGTACTGTATTTTATGATGACTATAGTTGGGGAATAAAAAGCTCAAACACATTGGTGGGAGACTGTTTTTAAGGTTTCTTCCAACCACTATGACCACTTCTTTTAGAAGTTGTTATGGTGGTAGGAGTATGTACACTGATCAGCAACAACATTAAACCCAACTGCCTAATATTGTATAGGACCCCTTGTGCTACCAAAACAGCCTTGATTGAGTGGAGGCACTGACTCCACAAGACCTCTGAAAGTTTCCTGGGTTATCTGGCACAAAGACATTAGCAGCAGATCCTTTAAGTCCTGCAAGTTGAGAGGTGGGGCCTCCATAAATCAGATTTGGTGTTCCGGTAAATTCCATAGATACTCAAATCAGATTGAGATCTGGGAAATTTGGAGGTAACACCTTTGTCATGTTCTTCAATCCATTCCTGAACAATATTTTTAGTGTGGCAGGGTGCATTATCCTGATGAAAGAGGTCACAGCCATTGGGGACACCATTGCCATGAAGGGGTGTACATGATCTGCAACAATCTCTAGGTAGGTGGTACATGTCAAAGTAACATACACACAAATGCCAGGGCCCTAGGTTTCCCAGCCTCTGCTTGCCTGCCTTCTTCCCATAATGTGTCATGCTTCTATCGCTTACCCAGGTAAACTACACACACACACACTCAGCTATCCACCTGATCTAAAACAAAGATGTGATTCATCAGGACAGGCAACATTTAAGCATTGCTCCATGGTCCAGTTATGATGCTCACGTCCCAATTGTAGGGGATTTTGGCAGTGGACAGACGTCATTATGGTCTGCGGCTACGCAGTCTAATACGCAATAAGATGCGGAACACTGTGTGTTCTGACATGGTCACCATTACATTTTTCAGAAGCTCTTCTGTAAGACTGGACCAGACAGGCTAGCCTTTGTTACCCACGTGCATCAAGGAGCCTTGGGCACCTATAACTCGGACACCAATTCACAGACTGACCTTCCTTGAACCACTTTTGGCAGGTACTAACCACTGCATACCTGAAAGACATGCTGTTTTGGAGATACCCTGACCCATTCGTCTAGCCACCACTATTTGGCTCTAGACAAAGTCACTCAGATGTTTTCACATGCCCATTTTTCCAACTTGCAGCTCATGAAATTTAAGAACTGACTGTTCACTTGCTGCCTAATATGTCATACCCCTTGACAGGTGCCAATGTAATGATATAATTAGTGGTATTCACTTCACCTGTAAGTGGTTACATTGTTGTGTGAAGCATGAGCAGACAGTGGTGACGCCAATGAAGGCGTGGAAACCAGTGAGGAGAGCTTTGTCTGTCACTGGATTTCATATAAGTAATTTCTTAATTTGCAGGTTTACAAGATGGGGGCAGAAATTAATAATGCCCAGTAGAAATGTTTTAATTAAATTTAAAAAAAAAAACAATATATAATGTAAAGGTTTAGCATTATATATTTCAACAGATTCTCAACTGGTTATTTCTAAATATTCTGGTTCTTGCTTTTAAACAATTTCAGTGTAGCTTTGGCTTTATGTTCAGGATAATTATCTTGCTGGAAGGTGAATCTCTTTCCCAGTCTCAGGTGTCTTACAGGATCCTTCAGAGTTGCAAGACGTTTGATTTCCTCTCTAACGAATGGTTACTTTACTTTTAAAAGTCAGCAAGTGGTAGTTGTGGCAAATTCATTCCATTTAATATAAAAAATGGATTTAAAAAATGCTTTTTTTTGGAATATTTAACCCCATTGGCTCTTCCCCAGAATATCCTGGGTTTTTAGTGGCTACTAGGCCTTCATGGTCTTGTAAGCTGTTTAGCAAACTCTCTGATCTTCCAAAAAACTAAGAACATGTCCCATTTAAATTGCACACAGGTGGACTCCTTTCAAATGATGTAACTACTTAATACAACTGGTTGCACTCGAGTTTATTTAGGGGAGTTATAGTAACAGGGGTGAATACATACTCAAACTACATAAGTCTGTTTTGTTTGATAAACTTTTGTGTCACAATAAAATAAAAAAAACAACCCAAAGCAAAATCAGCTGTATTTTTTTATTTTTGCCCTTTTTCCATTGATATATGAAACTCAGAGGAATGAAAAAAGATCACATTGTTATGGACAGATGAATTAAAATAAAATGGCTATTTACTAATGTCTATTTATTCTCTGTTCACTATGTTAAAACTGGCTTCTAGAGTAAATATTCCCTTCCCCCCCTACAATGTGGTCAGCTGCTGTTTACTATGTAAATTCCTCACATCCTGCTAGCCTCCCCTACCCCACTACCTTTGTGCCAGTTAACAGCTATATGCCATATATAGCTAAATGGAGGATCATTGGTTTAGAACTGATAGATACCACTCACTCCCCCTCCCATCGTGTATCCAAAAGTGTGTAATGATGACACTACATTCTGTAGGGGGGTTTAAACAAGAGCCCCCTTTCTCTGTTAACCAATTGGTGAATGTATACTGTATGTTTAAACTGTGACGTATTTTTGCTTTAAGAAGGAGCCCCCACTCCGGGGAATAAAGCATTCCTGGGTTTTTCACTGATCAGAAACTTTGTCTCCGGTGTGAATTACTTCTAGGGAAAGCGTGCACGCATTAATTAATCAATTTGGAAGGTGTAGATAGACAAATAATCAAAGTTTTCTTTGATCCAAAACAATTTGGTGGAGAATGCGGGCATTTAAGGGATACGTTACTAAGGCAGCCGTCAGATCCCAAGACAGGAGAGCAAAGGATTCCCAGAGATTGGAAACGGAGCCTGATCACCTCTGCATATGGTAAATGAGTTACTTACCTATATTTTCCTTTCTTTGGATTTCTCTTGTTCTCCGTGCCTTCACATTCGGCTTCCGGTGTTTAACGTCTTCAGACAGGTAATATATATATGCCCGAATGTCCCCTTTTATATAGAACCTGTCACTTGTCTATCTACAGCCTGAGTCCTGAGTGTGAGTTTTATGTGTGAAAGTGTCTGTCTGAGAATCTGTTTTACTACTTGCTTAATACTGTTATATAATGCTGCCAAGTGTGGTTAAGCACTTGCAGGTTTAGCCAAGTTCGGGTTTGGTGGAAAACCCCTGGCTCTATATTTATTTTAGCTAAGCTTCGGTAAAGAAGTTATTGCGAGACTCGGTCAAGAGTTTAAAAATAAATAAATAAAATAATTTAAAAAAAAAAATAAAAAATATTATTTTAGCTAAGCTTTGGTAAAGAAGCTAGTGAGTGATGTTTTGGCCTCGTTTGGTAAAAAACCTGGCGGTTCCTTTGTTTTATTAAAACTCGGTCAAGAGTTTAAATAGCTAAGCTTCGGTAAAGGAGCGGTTTATGTGCTTGAGTGTTTCTGTGTGTGTGTGATTTGATTTATTATAAGCCGGCATTTATTTTAAGAACTTTGTGATTTAATTACATCTGTATTTTGTGCTTTTGTCTGTGTATGTCTTGTTGGGTACCATATATGTTAATTGTAATCTATACAATTTGTATCGTTACTCTCCTATTCTATCTTTTGTCCTAAGGAGAGCTGTGCTTAGGCAATCACATGGTTAAAAAACTTTGTGCTTGCAAGTCTTCCTCCCTCCTCCCCCCTCCTTCTTTGTTGCTTTCTCTTGCTCTGACTGCTATGAGTATTGGCTACAGGGGGGTGGGGTGAATGGGTGAAATGCTTGTAAACTCAGTGAGGAATGTGAGGGAAACAAGGTATATTTGCTGGACGAATAACCTAGTTAGGAACTTTGTGTAATCTTGTATATGTTGTTAAGCAAGAGGTTATTGGCATGTTGGAATAAGGAAAGTTAGATTTTGTTGGAACAAATGAATTGTGGAATTTATAAATGATATCGCAGAGAAAAGTAAATTGCAGTTTGCATTTAATAGCAGCTATTTGTAAAATTTCAGGACAATGATAAAATAATATATGGAAATTAGGAGACAGACAAGCAATGCAGCGTAACACAGAAAGTTATAAGAATCAGATAACTTCAAGAGATATGATCAGTTTAGGGAATGAGCATGGATATGTCTGCCAACAGATGTACACAGGCTGATTCCAGAATTAAGAACAGCACAAGAATAGAGATCTATGTCAGTTTATTGTTTTAAATGAATTGTTAGTCTGTACTGTCTTTCATTGTTTTTATATGTGTTATAAGAAAGTATTAGGTTAATTAAAATAAAAATTTAAATCAAGTTTGCACATATGGCAGAATGAAATACACTAATGTAGCAGTGAGGAACATGCAATGTTATATTGGGTGTATGCAATTATATAGTAACTCCAATCATTTTACAGAAGAAAAAACAATAGATTTATTCTTTGTTGCTTCTGAGGTTGATTTAAAATCTTTGATTTAATTCATGAGAATGAGATTTTAATATCATGACTGATAATGGATTACTGTATATTGCAACGCCTGGACATACACATGGTTTGGATATACTGAAGACAAAAGGAATAATATATGGGAATGGATAAGGCTGATTTCCCCCTATCCACAGCCACGCCTACTCCTAAAGTAACATCGCGTACATCCTTACTATGCCCTTTTACTGTAGAATTTCCCGAATCCTAATGACCCATTCCACTACATGGTGTGACTTGTTTAAGCCTAAGATAAATTGGCTGATCAGGCTACCTGTATTAACAATGTCATCAACGATGAGTTAGCATCTGTGGAGAAGCATCACTTCAGGTTGTCCCAAATTTTCTTTTAACTTAAGTTTTAGTACATAGTAAGGCCCATGCCCAATAACTATATGCAGCCTTGTATAGCAGGCCACATGACATCTATTTGTACCAAGCAAGGCCTGCCTGACTCCTCATTCCTGTCTAACATTGTTGTCTCCTGCATAAGTGTAGATGGCTCTCCTTGGAGTAGCCTGTTAACTAAGCCTTGCTTTGTGGATACCTTCACCTGTCCAATTAATCTGCTAGGTGCAGATGTCCTTCCCCCACTTGCAGGCCCCTATCACCTTATTATTTATTTTGTTCCACACAGTGAAACCTGACCAAGAGGCAAGGGTCCTAGCTAGTTCCCCCAATACCTTTACCTGAATTATACAGGCCCCAAAGCCTGTCCAAGCTCTTACTATTCCCTAACAGGTTAAGGCTCTGGTGTCGAATGTTGCCCTGGTTACCTGAGACTTTCCATGCAATATCCCACCTCTCCTTGTGATGGACGAATTCTGTGCAGGATAATGTCACCCTGCAGGGATGATACTCTATTTACCTGGCCACTCTTCTGCCACTTCCCAAGGGGGGAAATGATAAGACACTGACTATTATTTTTTTTTAGCCTTTTTCTTATGTTCTGTTCCGGATTTGCTGTCACTACAGTGGACCAAGTATCTCACCTCAACAATGTCTGCACAAGAAGCTGAGCTATAGACTCCCATCACACCATGCAAGATCTCTGAAGGAAGACTGAACTCAGAGGAAGCATGTGGCAGCTCTCTGGCTGACTAAGTTGTTCAAAAAGTTGTAAGTGCACTAAGGGAAGTGGACAGAAAAGTGTCTGCTGAAGAAACTCCCATATTCACCATGTAAGATCCTACCCACAGACATCAAGCTCCCGAAGGAATAACAAGCAAGCTACTGACCCTGGAAAGAAAGAAAAAACAAACAAACCACAAGCTGGAAACAGAAAGGGGCAACTCTTAAAGACAGGCTGTACTTCAACAATCTCAAGTTATACTTGCCCAAGAACATATACTCAGCAGTGGTCCAGTGGGCCTACGGAGCATCTGTCCAGAACCCTCATGAACTCTTTTGATCAATAAATACTCTGAAGTACCAGGAATTGCCTCTCTGACCAACAGTTACTGTAAATCTTGTGCCATTTGTGCCAAGGGCAACTCAAGAAGAATGGATGAAAGCCCCAAGCATCTAGCCAAACCTCATTATCTCTTCCAGAGGAGTCAAGTCGCCAGAATGCCAAAGAATGGCTGATTCAAATATGCACTAATTATAGCAGACATGTTTTCAGGATGGCCAGAGGCCTATCCAGCCACCAAAGTGATAACCAAGACCACATGCTGAGTAGTGCACCGTGAAAGATACAGAGATCACCCCGTGGGTTCATCATTCCAGAATCAAGCCTGCCTCTGCATCATGTGAAGTAACATTTGTTGATCTTGACAACCCTTTTTGAAACTCCATTCTTAGAGAACAAAGATACTTGTTGAAAATAAATAAATAAATATCAACAAGTGGGTGTTTTGATGGCCATAATAATGCCTGACCACCTGCCATCGATGGAAAGCTGAATACCCCAAAAGGGGACCTCGTGAAACTAAAGAGAAACAAACATACTCCTTACCCTGCAGCCCTCACGTCTGAGGTGCCATACGCACAGTCAAAGCTTCTTCAAGATCATCTGCTTATCTTGAGTTTGTGGTGATATTAATATTGAATGTTTAAATGATCTGAATCTGCCAGTACTAGGGTAGCATGAGACAAGATTTCTAAGAATAAGTAAATGTGCCCTAGCCTAGGTTATTATGTCCATACACATAACACATGACAATCCCCAAGGTACTCTTGACACACCTCATTCATGCTTCAGGACAAAAAGGAGTACCCCTATAAAGGGTGGTTTTACCCACACATATATATATGTATATTAATGCCATAGGGGTGTCAAGGGGGGTACCAAATAATTTTAAGGTAAGAAACTAAGTTTGAATCTATTCTCCCAAGCATTACGGCTAATAAAATCTGAGTTGGAAGGGAAGAGGTTTATACAATAAACAGGAGACCTTTTTCTTACAGGACATGTATGACTCAGCTGAATGGGTAGGTGCCACGCACATGACTGTTAATCCCCTCAAACCACACATTAGGACTTTAAAAGACATGGTAGTCATCCCATATTTGAGGATAAGAGGGCTGTAGAGACAGGTTTCTCTGACACTAACTTGTGACTTGAATGGATGAAATACAATGCTACTAAACATAACAAGTCTAACTGCTATGTCTGCAGAGGAGCGAGGCCTCACCCAGGTACAGTATCCCTGAACCTTCCTCCGGATATGAAGTATGCGTTTTAAGTCTCTACACTGTATTTAAACCTAAGCGGTCAGCATGCGAGTCATGGAAACTTAATACCCAATCATTACTAAAAATATTAACCCAGACGAAGGCATTACTATATAGCCCGGGAACTATACTTGTTATGGGATATATGGTGGGATAGGGCGGTTACAAACTATCTCTCAGATGACCTTCCAGAATAGAATAAGCTTGGAAATGATTTTAGCAGAAAAAGGGAGAGTATGTAAAATACTCCCAGACACCATGACATGCTGTACCTATATTCCAGATAATACAGGCCCTAATGGTAAGGTAACGTTGGCAATAGAAAAGTTAAAGAGTTTGTCCAATGAACTGAAACGAAATTCTGGGGCCACAGATCCATGGGAAAGATGGTTTGGATGGATGTCTGAATGGCAAGGTGCTTTGGCCCAAATAGGTGTTGCCATTTTAATAACGATAATCATCCTCGCTCTTCTTGTTTGTTGTGTGTTACCCTGTCTTAAGAAATGCCTACAAAAGACAGTTGATCAGACAATCGACCAGACCACCCCGACCTTCCTTCACCAAGAGATTGACGACATCGACCTTGATACACCACATACACCCTTACAGTCCCACCGCACTAAATCAACAGCTACTTCCTCTTAAGGACATTTAGGGATAGCGTCTGTCTCTACGGGCAGAAGTCTGCCGCGGGAGAAGTAGTGGACAAGCTGCTATGGGGTACCCGCGCAGTGAAGTGTTCGAGGCCTGTTCAGACAGATGTGCAAGATAGCCTTTTGTTATTTTTCTATAGGGACAGTATTAGAATGAGAGATAGTAGTTTTAGTAAAAATTGCCATTTTAAGGGGGGACTGTTATGGACAGATGAATTAAAATAAAATGGCTATTTACTAATGTCTATTTATTCTCTGTTCACTATGTTAAAACTGGCTTCTAGAGTAAATATTCCCTTCCCCCCCTACAATGTGGTCAGCTGCTGTTTACTATGTAAATTCCTCACATCCTGCTGGCCTCCCCTCCCCCACTACCTTTGTGCCAGTTAACAGCTATATGCCATATATAGCTAAATGGAGGATCATTGGTTTAGAACTGATAGATACCACTCACTCCCCCTCCCATCGTGTATCCAAAAGTGTGTAATGATGACACTACATTCTGTAGGGGGGTTTAAACAAGAGCCCCCTTTCTCTGTTAACCAATTGGTGAATGTATACTGTATGTTTAAACTGTGACGTATTTTTGCTTTAAGAAGGAGCCCCCACTCCGGGGAATAAAGCATTCCTGGGTTTTTCACTGATCAGAAACTTTGTCTCCGGTGTGAATTACTTCTAGGGAAAGCGTGCACGCATTAATTAATCAATTTGGAAGGTGTAGATAGACAAATAATCAAAGTTTTCTTTGATCCAAAACAACATTACTCACCAGAATTTTCACCACAAATATTTTCAGGTGTTTCTATGTTGTTTTGACTTTTCCTACACGGCTCATCTTCAGGCTGTATCCTTAGGAAGTTGTTTGGATTAAGTATAATAAAGCCTAGGGCAAAGCAAAATGAGAATTTAGCTAGTTTGAAATAAAAAAATAAATAAAAAAATACATATAAATATATATATATATATTTATGCTTTTTGCATTACAGGCATACCCCACTTTTAAGTACACAATGGGACCAGAACATGTATGTAAAACGAAAATGTAATACCTTTTTTCACTTCCCAATGCATGTACGGCATTGCAATAGTAATTTACAGGCATAACTGATACTGCAACTTCAGATTTCCAGTGATTGTACCATTTATCTTTAATGTTTTACTCATCTGACAACCTTAAACTGGGAGTAAAAGAAAATTAAACCTGCCCACTGGGCCATTTTCTGCCAATCCAGTGCCAATTTCTATTTATTAGCAGCTTAGTTGCACACTTTGTTTAGAAACACCTCTTCATCACATTTATGGTTTAACTTTGAATCCTCAGAATTGTGGCTAATGCAGTCATCGTTATAGAAAATGGCAGGGTAAACCCTGTCACTGGATGGCAGATTGCAGAATATTGACAATGTCTAGGAAGAAAAAAAAATTTTGATTGAGGAGATTTATATCAGATGAGTGCAAAGCTTCAGTAGCATTAATTACATAAGTTAGTCCTTGATAGGGTGATGCACACTGCAAGGGAAGGTGCACTACAAATTTCAATGTCACTTTTATTCCGCTGCAATTTGGCTTTTAATAATTATTATGTTATTATTTATAATGTAACAGTTGTAAATCTTGGTATGTAAAAAGTAATTATATCAGGTAGTTCCTATATGGCTGTTATGCCTTGTAAGACAAGTTTGGACTAACAATTGTTATTCAGTATTTGGTATTGGAGTGAATATGTGCCATGTACACAAATCACGACCATACAAGTCTTATGACAATATCTACGGCAGCAGACTGAAAAAGTTCCTCCCATACTCCCTAAAGAAAAAAACACCTGCAATTAAATGTATAATTACCACATCCCTCATCTATAGACCCCAGTGTTTGTCACTCTCATTTTCCCTTTTAGGACTTATGCTTTGTTTGTGTGTCCCCCCAGGGAAGTTCATCATCTCCCTCCTGAGAAGCTTGAGGACATAGTCCCGTGCAAGCAAGGTCCACTTGAGGACTCCTTTAGCAAGGTTGGTATTACATGCAGAGACCCCAGGGTTAGCTGATGTCTAGGGCCTCGTTTGTGTTTTAAGTCAGCTGTTTTCGGTTTAGTTTCACTTTTCCCAGTAGGTATTAGGTTTCTACAAGCCGTTTGGCAGGTGCATGCATGCAGGTCTATAAAATGCGCAATGCACTTTGATGGGCAATTGTAGGTATAATACACATTGCTAAATTGTATTTCTTTAAACTGCAACGGTTTTCCTAACTAATAACCTTTTACCTATTTACAGTACACATGTTTACTCCATCTTGTCTTAGATTAATGCAATAACAATTCAAGGCTTTGCCTATGTCAACCTAACTACTAGTCCAAATGAAGATTAACCCCTTAAGGACCGGACTGTTTTTGCGATGTTGCACATTTGCGACCAGGCATATTTTTACACTTTTGTGGTGTTTGTGTTTAGCTGTAATTTTCCGCTCCCTCATTTACTGTTCCCATACAAATTATATATTGTTTTTTTCAGGACAAAAGGGTCTTTCTTTGCATACCATTATTTATATATTCTCATGTAATTTAATTTAAAAAAAATAAAAAAAATATGATGAAAAATTGAAAAAAATACATGTTTTTTTACTTTTACTTCAAAACATTTTTTACTCAGCTACAAAAGCGAATGAAAAAAAAAACTGTTAAATAGATTCAAAATTTTGTCCTGAGTTTAAAAATACCCAGTGTTTACGTGCTTTTTTTTGCAAGTTATAGGGCTATAGGTACAATTAGGATATTGCGGTTTCAAAACATACATTTTTTTAATTTATCAATAGTGACATTGTAACACTATTATCTGTAATAAATCTCTGAATAACACCCCACATGTACATATTTTTTTTAAAGTAGACAACCCAGGGTATTCAATATGGGGTATGTTCAGTCTTTTTTAGTAGCCACTTAGTCGAAAACACTGGCCAAAGTTAGCATTCATATTTGTTTGTGTGTGAAAAAAGTAAAAAACTAAATTGAACGCTAATTTTGGCCAGTGTTTGTGACTAAGTGGTTACTAAAAAAGACTGGACAAACCCCATTTGCAATACCTTGGGTTGTCTTCTTTTGCAAATGGTATGCCATCATGGGGGTAATTCTAATTCCTGGGCTACCATACGCTCTCAAAGGCAACGTAACCAACCTGGCCATTTTCAATGTAAATATTTGACCCATATATTTGACCCTGTAAAAATGCTATAAAACCTGTACATGGGGGGTACTGTTATATTCAGGAGACTTTGCTGAACACAAATATTAGTGTTTCACAACTGGAAAACGTATCACAACAATTATATCATCAGTAAAAGTGCTGTTTGTGTGTGAAAAATGCAAAAAAAGTCACTTTCACTGACAATATCATCGCTGTGATATGTTTTACTGTTTTGAATCACTAATATTTGTGTTCAGCGAAGTCTCCCGAGTAAAACAGTACCCCCCCATGTACAAGTTTTAGGGTGTCGTAGAACGTTACAGGGTAATATACAGTGCTAGCAAATAAAATTTTCTGGACTTTCGGCCTGGGTTGGCAGGCAGGTCCCTCAAATTGCAATCAATAAAATAACTTAATTATGTAAAAATATTACATAAATACGCACGTAGAATTTAAATATATATGCATATTTATATATTTGAAGTGTACGTGTATATTTATATAATTATTTATGTAATTTTGTATATGGACATATGTATATTTCGTATTATTTGTATTTATTTATATATACATAGATATATATACAATTTCATTCTAAGTGTATTTTGATATAAATATATATATATATTAATATCAAAATACAGTTAGAATAAAATTTCATATAGATATAATTTTTTTTAAATTTTTATTATTTTTACATTTTTTTATTTACTTTAAATTATGTATTATTTATATTTTATAATAATATATATATATACAACATATATATAGTTATTGTATATTTTATATATATATATACACGTGTGTAATTTAATTATATGTGTATTTTTATATTAATATATGTACATAGTAATATAAAAATACACTTAGTATGACATTAAAAATATAATATATAGACATATATTAGTTAGATATAATATATGTCTATATATCATATATATATATATATATATATATATATATATACACACACACACACACACACACACACACACACATATATATATATATATATATTTATTTTTATTTTTTAACATTAACTTTATTTTTATTTTTTCATGATTTTACAGTTGCAGCACAGGCAGTCCCCCTGCAGGCAGACACATGGACACCTATTGTGACCATGTGATCGCTCTGTTGAGCGATCACATGGCCACAGGGATCCTAATCCAGTGTGGGGAGACTGTCTGGGCTGCAGGCAGTCTCCCCACACCGGGAGCACCACTGATCGCCACTGGGGGAACGACGGCGATCAGGTAAGTAACTAAGACCGTATTAGTACGGTTCAGGACCGTCAGCGGTCGGCAAGGCAAAAATGTCCGTCCGCGGTCCTTAAGGGATTAAAGATGTCTAGGTTATGACATTAGACTGATAAGTATGTTTTCTTTTATTTTTATATATGAACTGCTTTTAACCCTAAGGTTTGATGTCAACCTAACTTCTAGTCCAAATACAGATTAAAGATGTCTGGGTTATGACATTAGACTGATAAGAGTGTTTTTCTTTTATTTTTATATATGAACTGCTTTTAACCCAAAGATGAATTAACCCATACATTACCAGTAGTAATTAGAAATGCTATACTATATATATACATGCATGATCAATGCTAGGTAGAGACTTACTGACCAACTCTGGAGGTGACATACTGAGAGATTACCTGTATAATCAGGAGGGTATGTCATACTAATATTATTGCAAGCATTTGCAATTTAATAATCCATTAATATACTCTGCTCTATGATATATTAATGGATTATTAAGTTTATATATCTGTATTCATTTATATTCAATAAACTACATTAATAAGACAAAAGTTATTGCTTCCAACTCCTATTTTTATTGTATTCTTTAATTATTTATGTATTTTAAATGGAGAAACTCTATACCGACTAAATAATATTTTAGCTAAGATATCTGTATGGTTAGCCCTGCTAAATTCTAAGTTTTAAGACGTTATAGCGGTAAATAGGAGTACTAGCGGTTATAAAACAGGAAACAAAGAGAGAAAAAGTAACGCAGCATTTACTCCTAGAAGAGACAGGCAGAAGCAAGATAGGAGAAGTTCTACATACATAAAAAGGGAATCTAGACCATTTACATCTTCAGATGGCACTAACGGAGATAATTCTCATCCCTCTTATATGGGACATATCAAAGGGAAAAAGAACAGACTACAGAGATAGAACGCACTGAACGATATCAGTCAACTTCCAAAGGAGAAGCCCCAAAATATTCAGAATTTCCTGGATATAGCGGAGGATATAGATTGAGACCAAGGGTTAAAGGTCCAGACAAATACGGAGAATCCCCAGTTCAAGTCAGGGACAGAGACAGAACAGGACAAGATAAAAGTTCTACTACCCCATCATCATCTACACATCCTCCAACATATCCTCCAGCAACAACCAGAAATATACAAAAAAAATAAATGATAGAAAAGGAATCACGGGAACACCCAGAACATGCATTTTTTTTATATAATCTTAATTTGCAGATAGTTTATGCCTTAAAGACATATAAAGGATATTTAATTAAATATGCAGGTATCTTTAAAAATTAAGCAATGTTAAAATAAATAAATAAATAATAATAATAAAAAATATATATTTACCACAATATAAACAGTCACAATATAAACAGCTTTGTTAAACAGATTTAAGTGCAAGTACTTATGACAAGAAATATACAGAATCCGTTTACAACAGGCAGATTTAGTATAAATGCAAAGTTGTTGTTTTTTGGGGATTTATTATTGCCCAAGAAATCTCTGAACATATTCAGAATTTTTGAGAGCAGCAAGTAAGACAGCAGATTGCAATGGACACCAATACAATATTGCTTTGCCGATTGAGGTCAGAGCTTTAAAGAATAAATAAATAATCTATAACTCACTAGACCACTGGCTTTTAATGAACAGTTTGCACAACACTTATAAAATAGTTTGTTATACTGCACATTATAGCTGTGACATGATATACAGGGTAAAAATGCTATTTCACTGTTTTATAGACTTACCCAGTATTTAAGGATGACATGTTTCTTGCAAAGTAATCGGGATTTTTAGGGATGTTCTAACTATATTTAATTAATTTACTAAAAAAAGAAAAAAAAAGTGGGGTTTTTTTTTCCCCGCAAGTGAATTTTCAGCCCAAGGTCATTTTGTGTTCACAGACTATTCGGTTTTAAAAAAAAAAAAAAGCTGTTATTTATCTCACATTATGAATGGCCTGGTAATTCCTACGCACACTAAAAGTTGGCTTTTAAATGTAATTGTTTTAACTTTAATATTTCATAGTTAATACAGAGGATAAAGTAATTTAAAGAAAGTATATTGAAAGTATATTAATTGATAGGATTTCATTTAGATATTTTGGTCCACTGTTCACCGATCTCGAGTCTCAGTCTGGTGTTCAAACAGTTTTTGAAAGCTTTGTGGAAACAAATTGATGCATATTTGCAAAAGAAACCTGACATTGAAATTGTGTATGAATCTGCACACAGGAAGTTAGGTTCTTCACCTCATACAGTTGGTAACCAGCTGGCAGACACTTTGGCGCAAAGTGTCAGCCACAGCTATTCTGTTAATGTGGTCACTAGATCACAGAAACATACCCTTTCTCTCAAAGTAGATGCAGAGTTAAATGCTTGCCTGGATAAGTCCGGACTCAATCCACCTGGCTATCCTACCAAATACTCCTATCGTTTAGAGGGGTTAATTACATAATAACCATTGAAGGTAATATGTTGGTTGTTCTTTCTTTAGAGGAAAGATAGACTTGGCCTAAAAGCTTTTTCATGGCTAGAACAAGCTCTTATAGAGAGAGGTAATGTACTTCTGACTCCTGAAAAGGAATATTGGTGGCCTAATATGGGAAATACTGTAATACATGTGTTTAGTAAACATAAGCATTTGCTTATTGCCACATTACTGATGTACTGTTTATTGAAATATTAATATCTAACATACTTTTTGAATTACTATTTATTGGAAGTTTGCCAACATCTCATGGTTATAAATATGTTTTTGTATGTGTTGATGCATGTACCAGGTTTACTTGGATATATCCTGTGTGAAGTGCAACCTCTGATACCACGTTTTCTAGTCTCACTTCCTTAGTATGCATTTGATAATCACAGGACCATCCACTTGGATGGTGGTCCTGCAGTTACTGCAAAGGAAACCTAAAAATGGGCAACCACATTTGGGTTACTTTGGTATTTCAGTGTGCCAACCACCCCCAAAGTAGTGGGGTTGTGGTCTGGGAAAATGCTGAGGTTAAATGATTATTAACCAACTTACTAGTTGCTTGCCCCACACAGTGGTATCTATTTATTCCTATGGTACAGATGAGCATTCACAACATACCTGATGATACAAATGGTGAGACACCATATGAAATGTTACATATTTTTCACTGAAAATCATATTTCTGCACCAGGGAGAGCTTAGAACCATTGGTTGTATTAGAGAAATTTAGGGAATTTTTTTCTCACCTCACCATGCACCACCAACTTTTTCTTACTGTTGGCCAGTTTGTCCTGGAGAGGGTGACTCCGAGAACTTTTACTACAGAGAACAATCAGAGCCAACACACAACAGTAAGTTTTGATATTTTACAACCTGCTATACTAAGAGGACGTTCACAGAACCACTGACTGACACAATGGATGCTGTTAAAGATGGCAAGATAAAACAAACAGAGGACGACAGAAATGCCACCAGAACACAGCCACTAGAGTCATAGCCACGTAACAGACTGAATCATGATCTGACATCTGAACCTGCAAATGTGAAGGAGAAGGATGAACAGACAGACGTGATACATTCACAGTTAACATAGAATATATGAAAAATGAATCTACATCATCATCAGAAAGACTCTCGGCAGAAAACAGACTGTACCTGAATTATCTTATACAGTAAGAAAGAAATGCAAAGATGCAAGCAAACGGATGCTAGAAAATTGGTTATGGTGTCTCCTTCTTACAATCTGCAGCATTATCATAACATCAACCCTAGCTGTCGTTTTAAAACTGCATTGGGATTATGTTAACAAGCAGGAAGCACCTGAGCTGAATTGGACTGCACATAATACAAGTTCTGTGATCGTGAGGACTAGCTCCAAGAACCATCTCGAAAGGAGAGACACAGCTCACAGTGAAATGATTGCTAATGTGACCTACACTGGTATTTCACAAGGAACCTATTGAGATCATTCCAAAAACTGATGATACACGAGAAAGATGTGATTGGACTATTACAAATCCTAATAATGGACTCAACGATGATGACAAAGCATGCTGAAAACAGAAAAAGACGGGACAGATGCTTGTGAAATACTTTGGATGCACCTATGAAGGTGATTAAGAAAAGACTTTGCCATATAGTTTATCATTGAGTGACTACCGCAAACAGCCTTCTTATGCTGAAAAGAAGTGCTTTGCTAATTCTGGACATTGCTATTATGTTTCCAGACAGAAGATGACCGGAAAAAGAAATAAGGGCTGATAACTGTCAACACCCAGCTGTTTCTCAAGATGGAACATGGTACTGAGAAAACCTGATTGACTATTAAAGCACCTCACAAGACACAGATTGTTACCTACAACTCAGAAAAAGTGGTTACTGGGAAGGAGCAGAAGAAGAGGAATATAGATTTCCTGGTGGAGTGAGAAACCACATTGGAACATTCTGTAGTAATGAACTTTATAATGACTCATGGTGGCGTTTGAATCTGAATTCGGACGAAATACATCAATTAATGAAAGAAACCTTGCAGCAATTGATGAACAACAACAAGACAGGCCTACTAAAAGCAGAAGCCTTGCCGAAAGAATGGAATATAAATGGTCAACAAAAGCTTTTTAGAGACTTGACACCATGGGACACTTGTACTGAACCCCGAATTGCAGCAGTCCTTAACTCTACATATTATGCACATACCTGCAAATCAAGGAATTCCTGTAACATAACTATGGAGACATTGATAAAACAAGGAATCTGTAATGGTTCTAATCCAGATATAATCTACTGTTGTGCCTCTTGCTCTCTCTGGTATAATTATACCAATCAGAACTTTAAATGGCTCCCTAAAAACATAGACCAAGGATTTTTGCTATATTCTGGACTTCCAGGAATGTGGTGCATCGAGAGAAAACCGATAAGTATAAATGCAAATTATTCAGTATACTCCCTGTATCAGAAATGTGTCAGTGACAGTATGATATATAATACAGATATTGTAATTAATGGTATAAAAACTCAAATGCATGTTTTAATTGCTAATTGTGAATTTCAGAACTGTACTTCACAAAATGTTGCAGAGATGTCATTTGCAATCGCAGCATGGCCTACTAATAAAACATTTTTAGATATTACATATAAAAAAAAATACAAAATAGTGATCCAGATGAATGTAACATGAGAAGTGTGTCTCGCAGAAGAAGGACTTTGTTAACCAATACAATCTCCTTCCTACATAATGGCCAATTACTTGTAGAAGCTATTCAGGTTGTATCCCATTATTCTGATCTAAATGATGAATTGCTACGTCAAGGTATATTGATTCTTAAAGACCACCTGATAACGCTTACTGCAGCATTATTATATGGTATTTCTACACTAGAAGAAAGTGTGAAAATATCTATGTTAAATCAGAAGATTTTTGATATTCAATCAAATTTACAAAATGGTTTAATTGATACAAGTCTGGTTAACATAACTAAAGTGCTTCAAAGGTTAAAATTAACTAAGAAACAGACTGAAGTGTTATTGCACGTTTCCCAGACCTTTGTTTATGATATCAGAGAAACAAAACATTTAAACAATGCCAAGGTTAGCCAGTGGGAAGTTAAAATCTATTATGAGTTAACTCTTCCAGGTGAAATATACACTACGAATTGGAAAATTGATAATCTAGGTCACCTGTTACAAACAGGTGAAAAGTTGGCAAAAATAACAATACAACATCCATATCAATATATATCAAAGACATGTGATCAGATTTATTATTTGTCTGTTTCTAGATGCCAAGAAAAAAGTTATGTAATATGTGAAGATATAAAAGTACAGACTCCTTGTGGAAATAATCCTGCCACATCAGCTGATTGCTTACTTAATATAAAACCAATACAAAATGATTATCTGTGCTTTGAATCTTTAAGAAATAGTTCTTATTTAATTATGAGTCCTTATTCAGATTGCAAGTTACCTGCTTTATAGCCATTAATTGTAACTACGGATTATGACATTTATTGTTGTGGAAGATTGTTAAAACCTCCTTTACAAAATTATAATCTAACAGATATCATTAAAATACATATACCCCCAATATCTTTAAAACTTCCATATATGAGTGCTTTCTTGGCTCACTTACAACAATTCAAAATCACCTTAAGCTCCACCCATGAGCAAGTGCAAGATATATTAATAAGGGTTAGGCTTTCTCTTCTCAATATTCAGGACCACGAGAGAGATTTCCCATATTGGCTGAAAGAACTTGGTAAGATATTGACTCCTATTTTAACTTCAATTGGTAAAACTGTTCAAAGCATAGATGAATCTTTGGCAAATCTTGTTAAAGGGGTAATAGTAACAGGATTTTGCATTTTTGGGTATTTGAAACCAATAATGATAACTATAATTATTATATTTTTACTAATTGTAACTTGGAGAATAATTTATTTTCTCCCTCACAGGGCAAGGAAACAAGAATAAATTCATTTGTACCTGTTTTCAATTATCAACTATACCAAAAAGATTTAGAGAGATTTTGCATAAAAGAACAATCTTAACTTTTAAGGAAATTATACCAGGACAAAATTATTTTAATACCAATGTAGGAATTGCCATAAATATTTTGTTGATTCCAATAACCAATATATCTTTAGACCTAACAAAGGTTTTTTTTTCCTATAAAGAAATATCAGAACAATTATCATTACATATATCCAATCTATACACATTATAAGAGGTGTAAAAATGTATCAAGGAAGAGGAAACATGCAAAGACAAATACCAAGACCAAAGGTGCCAGTGTCCTTATGACAACCAATGATGTTAAAGGAATACCTGTTACCAATACTAATGCAGTATCCAGATGCTCCAAAACAATCACCACCACCAGCAATGCACCTCAGAAACCTGGATTACAAGAGGCAGTTGATGACTTTGACATGCTTCTCCTTTCAGGATCCAGCCATGAATATTCTACCCAGGGATTTGATGACCTTCTTACATTTTTGTCAAACAAAAGCTCTATTGACTCATTACAAATCAACCATCCATTAAATGTGTGGATCGGGCTAAAGAGATTTTTCAGCTATATACTTTAATCAAAGATATTGGTCATATTAACATTGTCTCTCATGGTGCATATGGGGTCACAACAGTTATGGTGTGTACACAAAATGTTTATATAAAAGGCAAGGTAATATGAGAAGAATCCCTGCATTTTGTCTGAACACCTCTTTTCACATGAATTATTACATTATTGCAGCAGCCATGGTGGCAGGACATGGAATTAGAATAATTTAGGTTGGAATGAGTTGGGCTTAGTCAGGTATACATCAAGAGAAGCTAAGCTTTAAACTCATTCCTTGTGGGCTGAAAAAGAGGCAGATGTTTTCAACAGCTATTCTCAGCTGGTGGATTGCAGCAGCAATCATCCAGTCCTCAGTGACACTATAGGCACCCAGACCACTTCATCTTAGTGCCCCTGCCATTTTAGCTTTACAATGCAAAACACTGCTGTTTAGTAGATTCAGCAATGTTTCCATTGCTGGGCTGAACACACCTGCACAGACTCCGTTCTCACATGTCATCTTCTCTGTCATAGAGAGCATATGATTGGATGAGCAGGATGTGCTCCGAATGGATGAGAAATTGAAGAAGCGACACCTGCGGGGTGACAACACAGGAGGAGGAGCGTGACTGCAAAAAAAAAGGTAAGTAAAACCCTTTTTTTTTTGTAGTTATGGGGCCCCTGAATCTAAATAGGTAGGAGAACACCATAGCGTTAGGAATACATTTGTATTCAAAAACCTTTACCAGGTGACTAATGAATGTCTAAAAACATTCCTTAGACATCAACATCTTGATGTCAGCAAAGCATTCTCTGTACTTCATACGTTTGTACTCAGCCTCCATAATCCAAATACACTTCACTGAAGCAAGCAAACAAGATTTTGTAGGCAGTGGTCCAAGATACCGTAGATACTCGAGTATAAGCCGACCAGAATATAAGCCGAGGCCCCTAATTTTACCACAAAAACCTGGGAAAACTTATTGACTCGAGTATAAGCCTAGGGTGGAAAATGCAGCAGCTACTGGTAAATTTCTAAATTAAATTAGATCCCAATAAAATTACATTAATTGAATATTTATTTACAGTGTGTGTATAGAATGAATGCAGAGTGTGTGTTTGTGTGTGTATATATAATGAATGCAGTGTGTGTGTGTTGTGTGTGTATATAATGCAGTGTGTGTGTTCATGCAGTGTATGTAAACTGGATGAGAGGAGGGCATTTTTATTTTAATTTTGTAATTTTATATTATTTTAATATTATTATATTATTATTTTAATAATATTATTATTATTTTAATATTTTCATTATTGTCCCCTCTCCCTGCTTGTTGCCTGCTCAGGGAGGGGGGACAAAAAATCATTTTTAAAAAAATAATTCAAATATTAAAATAATAATATAATAATAAAATAATATTAAAATATAATATTAAAATAATAATATTATTATATTATTATTTTAATATTTGCATAATTTTTTTTAATGGTTTTTTGTCCCCCCTCCCTGCTTGTTGCCGGGCCAGGGAGGGGGGACAAAAAACATTTAAAAAAAATAATGCAAATATTAAAATAATAATATAATAATAAAATAATATTAAAATAATATTATTTTAATATTATATTATTTCATTATTATATTATTATTAATTTAATATTTGCATTATTTTTTTAAAAAGTTTTTTGTCCCTCCTCCCTGGCCAGGCAACAAGCAGGGAGGGGGGACAAAAAAACATTTAAAAAAAATAATGCAAATATTAAAATAATAATAATATAATAATAAAATAATATTAAAATAATATAATATTAAAATAATAATAATATTATTTTATTATTATTATTATAATATTTGCATTTTTTTCAAAAAAATGTTTTTTGTCCCCCCTCCCTGGCCAGGCAACAAGCAGGGAGGGGGGACACAAAAACATTTAAAAAAAATAATGCAAATATTAAAATAATAATATAATATTATTTTAATAATATTATTTTATTATTAAAATAAAATAATATTAAATCCCTGGAGGTCCAGTGGCATTGGCAGTTCAGTGGGGGGGCTGGCAGTGAGCTCTTACTTACCTTCCTGCAGCTCCTGTCAGCTCCCTCCTCCTCCGTGCAGATCCTCGGTCAGCTCAGTTCTGTTTACAGTGTAAGTCTCGCGAGAGCCCTTACACTGTGAGCAGAACAGAGCTGACAGAGGAGTTGCACGGAGAAGGAGGAGGGAGTTGACAGGAGCTGCAGGAAGGTAAGTAAGAGCTCGCTGTCAGCCCCCAACAGGACCGCCGGGCTTGTAATGAGCCCGGCGGTCCTGGTCTGTATTATGGCAATGTAAATTGCCATAATACAGACTGACTCGAGTATAAGAAAAACTCGGCTTGTACTCGAGTATATACGGTAAGTTTCCTTACCCCCAATGGGAAAAAGATCGATTCCAGCGGGCACTGCCTAATGTTTTTCATTAATTTGTTAGTGCTCTTTTAAATATATGTTTTTGCATTATATTTGGTGTTTTGTTACTTGTGTACTTCCCTGTGGGTTGCTTGCGTATTTTCCAGATTTCAAACGGCCATGTCAACTGTCCTGGGATATATATACACATACCAAAGGGGCTCAAAATTTCCGCTCGCCACAAGCAAAAGAAAATGTAGTTTTGGCGAGTAGAAATCCACCAGGCTTTGAGTGGTGAGTAACTTTTAATGTCTGTAGGATACAAATTGAAATTTTAAGCCCTGTAATTAAAAAATCCTGAACTTAAGCACTTTTTGATATCTCTGCACATTAAAGAATGCTAAAGAATCAATGGTTCGCAACCTGTTGATAATCACACTTGTTAGGGAAACATAGCTTAGATTACAAATGTTAGCCATTAGTAGTGTATGTTATCTTGGTGGAGTGAACTATAAAAAGCGTACTTTTAAATAAAATTAGAGGGCTAATGACACACTGAAATCTGTAGTTAGAATGCTGGGACTGATGGAATGAGAGCGGTTGGTTAATTTTATTTCTATAAATAAACAAACCAAAAAAATAGATAATTGGATTTCATGGTCCATAGGTTGCTGCTTGGAAAATATAGGTTATATTTAAATATTGGCAAATACTTTGCTATTCAGGAGAGTATTATGCACATCAAAAGCATTCATCGGTCCCTTTACTGTAAAATTTGTTGCATATTTTAGCACATAGTGGAAAGTTTTTTTCAATTACAGTTTCACAAATCTAAGTGTACTATACCCAGTGAGATCAGGATTCCATGAATTTCTTTTATCACGCCAGTGTACAAGTCTCTCTGCCATTTTTCTAGAAGTTCCCATTCCTTCTCAGAAAAATAAACAGCAACATCGCGAAATATTACCTGAAACACAAAAAGTAGAAAAAAAAAAAAAAAACATTAAAAAACAGAAAGTTGCAGCACTTGAGCCTTATTAAACAGCTAGTCTGTTTTTTTGTTTCTTTTATTTTTTTACTTATGTACTTGTCAAGGCTGGAACAAGTTAAAATTATTATTATTATTTTATTATTTATATAGAGCCAGCAAATTCCGTAGCGCTGTACAATGGGTGTTATGCACATTAAAGGGACACTGTTGGCACTATAACCATTTAATCTAATTGAATTGGTTATAGTGCCAGGAGTCCCTAGCCACTGTCCCTACATTCAGTGTTAAATCATTTGGAATCATTTTAACACCGAAGGACAGTCCTTGGCTTCCCATAGCCCTATTACAGATGGAGAAATGGCTAAGGCAGACATTGCACACTTCCTCGTAGCCATACCGATTAATAACTGCAAAGGCACTTTGACAAGCTGAATGCAGTCTGTTAACATTCTCGGCCAATCACAGTTGCCCGTTGCAGCTTAAGCTAATGCTTCCTCATTAGCCCAAGCAGCAGAGGGGATGGGTTGCTACTGAATCTTGATTAGCATTAAAACATTAAAAATGTTTTTATTTGGCAAGTAAGGCCTCCAGACACTATTACCATTTTAATTAGATGAATCAGTTAAAGTGTCTACAGTGTGTTTTAACACAACTTAGGCAGTAAACATAATTCACTTAATGAAGTAAAAATGTATAAACCAAACTGTAGCATGAGTCATCATATAAAGCAGTGCAGCAAAGATGTTATAAAGGTGATATAAATGTTCTCTTTACTTCAAGGTTTTTTTTTCCATGAGAAGTAATCAGATTTTGTCTGGAAGAGGCAGACTAACCCTAAACCTGTGGTGGGGAAAAAAATCCAAGATACCTCATGGGATGTTTTGGGGAAACATTTTAATAGTGTAATAGAGAACATTGGAACCAATGGAATATTCCTGTGGATTGCTAAACTTCTAGAAATTGTCCCCAGAATTATTCAATTTGGATACAGGCCCAATAATTATTCTATTTGGATGCCATAATTGTATTCTTCTTCTTGAGAGCAAAGAAAGTAATTTAAAGGAACACTATAGTGTCAGGAATACATGCATGTATTCCTGACACTATGGTGCTGCCCCTCCCTATCTCCACGGACAATAAAGGTTTAAAAACCTTTTCACCCACGCCGTGTCCAATTTGTAGCAGCTGACCCAAACTCGATGGCTGAGATCATCAATGTTGATGATCTCAACCAATCCAATGCTTTCCCCTAGGTAAGTGTTGGGAGGCTATTGCGCACGCCCACTGTAATGTTAATGCCAGGAGTACATTGGCCCAGCTCTCAGGTAATGGGAGAAATAATGATGACACACTTCCAGCTTTTGGAGAGAGACAGAAACCAAAAGCTGGTCATTGTGCTTGGAGTAACCATTAAGGTAAGACCGCTCAGGACCTCCAAGGATATCAACATGTTATGGTGCCCAGCATGTTCCTTTCTATTTGCTTAAATTTTATATTACAAAATTAAATGTTTTAAAAATGCTTGGATACCCACTGCATTAGAGTTTTTTTGTTTTTTTACTCAATATTATGATTTTTGGGAGATAAACAATACCTGTTCAGACAAGCTCCTTTAATTTTCCACAGTGGTCACATTGTAATGTTCCTCAAGTGGAACAGATCAACCTAGATGGAATACAACAATAAATACACAATAATTGTACTATACCGTAGGAGTAACAGGGCCTGCCATCATAGACTTGTATGCACTTTAATTGTAATGAAAGAGGGAAGTTGCAGTCAGATGGTGAGATCAGTGCAGTCTTCCAACAATCACACTGCTGTTCCCTGTTTGTAAAACCTGTTGGCAAAAAAAGAGCTACTGAAATTTATAATACTACATAACAGGATACATTTTTATTATTATTATTTTTTTATAAAGCGCCCTCAGATTCTGCAGCACTGTATTTATATACACACCGACACAAACAAATCAATCAGCATGGAGTGGCACATACAAGTGACTGCTGTAGGTTGATTTAAATATATGGGCTCTAGGTATTAAAAATAATTATGTAGAAAAGTTCTAAATGTGGATCAATCTCCAAGGAAAAAAATGGTAGGCTCCTGCTGACTGCTCCACTTTTAGAACATTACTAATTATAGTAAATTTTTTCAAGTGTATTATGGGGGCACTGATAATTCTTCAGGCATACTTCACAATTTTTATTATTCTTTTATCTTCACATATTTTATGAAATAATAATTAATATTATTGGCATTTTTATAGCTCCAACTCATTCTGCAAGGCTTTACAATATGTAACAATACAGAAGATAATTACAAAATGTTACAGGAACAATAGATTGATGTGGACCCTGCTCAAACGGGCTTACAATCTAGAGAAGGTGGGATATAAAAAACATAAAAGGAAGGGCAGAACAGGGGATAGCAACCAAGCAACAATGTAAACAAGGAAAAGCAGCAGAACTGGAAGGTGAGAGTGGTGTGTAGCTCTTTAAGAGAGAGTAAGAAACGGGTTTATGAAACAAAAGTTACTCTGGGAGATCATAGGCTTTTCTCAAGAGACAGGTTTTGAGGTACTTCTTAAATGACTGAAGTCTAGGGGAGTCTCTAATTGGAGAAGATAGGCAGTTCCACAGGAACAAAGCCAACCTTGAGAAGTCCAGCAAGCGTGAGTTAGCAGTAGGTTTATGAGTTGCGGAAAGGAGAAGGTCACCGGAAGAACAGACAGACCTTAAAGGGCATACCTACGAATTAGTGAAGAAATATAACAAGCGCTAGAGTTGTTTAAAACTTCATAGGTAAGGGTTAGTAATTTTAATTGACTCCTATAGGGTACAGGAAGCCAATGTAAGGATTAACAGACAGGCGAGGTGTGAGAGAAGTTACAGGAGAGAAAAGTGAGCCTGGCAATAGCTTTCATTACTGTAAAATCTGGTTAGGATCCTTAATGTTGAATCTTCTTAATTTCTTCTTGTCTTCATTTGATTGATATATATACGTCTTTTGTATATATAGTCTTGGGCCAAATGCTCGCCACAATAATATATGTCTATATTATCGAAGAGTACTAATACGCCATCTGACTTACGGTTTCTTCAGGTTTATTCTTAGTTACGGATACATAATAAAACAACAAAGGATGTTACAGGATAATGGACATTCAACAGCAGATGGTAATTGCTGGACTTCTTTACATCCTTACATCTTTACATCGAGAGAGAACCAGAGAGAGCCGAGAGAGACCTTGTGTTCCTCTGTTACTATATAGATGTGCTCATACTAACGTCAGCGTTTAACTCTAGCCATATAAGGACAAAAACCCCAAATCCACATTCCAGAGCTCTCGGATAAAGAAAGCTTTGTGACTTATACCATCTGTTACTTATGTCAATCCACGCATCCATATATAATCAATAGAAACATAGAATATGCAATATTCTACAATTACAGACTATAGCAAGACAGTACAGTTTCTGGGGTGACCAAATAGGAGAGAATTACAGTAATCAATGCAAAATGGTTACTAGGGCAAGAACAAGCTCCTTAGCAGCATCTTGTGTAAGAAAGGCAATGTTTGGCAATGTTTTTAAGGTGGAAATGGCAGGATTTGGCAACAGACTGGATGTTAAGTGCAAAGGTGAGGGCAGAATCAAAGATAACACCAAGACAGCTAACTTTCTAGGACAGGCTGATGCGGGTACCATCAACTAGCAGGGAGATCAAAAGAGAAGGATCAGTATTATGAGGAAAATAACAAGCTCAGTTTTAGGGAGATTGAGTTTCAGGAAGTGGGAGGACATTCAGTCAGAGATGGCAGAAAGGCAAGCTGTGATAGGTTCTAGGAAAGAGAGGGAGAGATCATGGGAGGAAAGATATACCTGTCTGCCATCAGCATACAGATGGTAGCGGAATCTAAAGGAATCAATATGTTTGTCAAGAGAGGCAATAGAAACAAATAACAAAAGGGGACCCCAAACAGAGCCTTGGGGTGCTCCAACCGAGACAGAAAGAGTGGAGCAAGTGTCATTAGAAAAGGACACACTGAATGAACGTTGAGATAGGAGGAGGATTACAAAAGAACAGTGTAAAAATTAAAACCATACGAGACAATGGAGGGATGAAGGGTTAAAAGCGGTGTGGAATTTAAGCAGGTGAAAAGAGGTCGTTATACATAACTGGTGAGTTTGCAAGACAGGCCATTAGAACTAGCTATAAAATGTAGTGAGTACCCTGGAGTGGATGGGCGATAGGGTGGGTGAATGGGAGATGGGATGGGTGAGTATTGATCTTCAGAAGTGCAACCTCGGCATATGGCTTTAGCTGCAAGACTTGGTAGCTCTAAATCATGAGTAAACACTTGCTATTTGGGCACAGGCTGTAAGAAAGAGTCAAGGGTTAGAACAAACGGCAATTATGGGTGGAGAGGCATGCAGATTTTGAGGTGAGAAAAATCAATCAAGTAAGAAAGCAGAAATATTTGAGATTTCAAGATATATAAGTGAATGGGAGAGATCAAATAGGTAAAAGTCATAAATGGTGAACATAAATGAAGACTATAATTGCCCTAACTCTAATATAACATAAATATTTAACAAAGCAAAATTTGATCATGGAAGGTACAATAGTTTTCAACTAAACAGCAATACTATAGGGAGAGAAAGATGGATATATTGAATAATAAGAAATAGATAAATAACAGCAGTAAGACAAGTATTCTTGAGTGGATCTTCAGAAGTGCTACCTCTGCATATGGATTTGGCTGCAAGACTTGGTAGCTCTGAGTCCTGAAAACCCCTTTATTTACTTACCTTATGCCAGCGCCGATGTCCCTGGGTCCAAGCTCCGCCCCCTCCGACATCCCGCGACGAGAGGGGTCTAATGCGCATGCGCAGCAAATGCTGTGCGCGTATTATACCTCCCCATAGTAAAGCATTAAATCAATGCTTTCCTATGGGGGAAAATCTGATGCTGGAGGTTCTCATGCTGACCGTGAGGACATCCATCGTCAGATAACGGACCAAAAGTCTGTTACTATTCCGGAAGTGCCCCCAGTGGCTGTCTGGTAGACAGCAACTAGAGGCAGACTTAGTGCTGCAAAGTAAATATAAGTTAACAATAAGTTAACGTTTCGCTTAGGACTTTAGCAGGACTAGGATTTACCTAATCACCCTTAGAAGAACACAGCGGGCATCATAACTTAATCTTAATTAAGTTGTCATGGTGCCAGGTCCTAGGCGCCATCTTTCCTTAAGGGGTCAACCATTTACAAACGGTAAAACCATAAAGTTGTGTAGCTTGTCGTCCTAGCTTCCGGCAATGCCAGAGGCCTCTGACTCTGGAGTAGGTACCATTGATGCTCTCAGCCTATTACTACTTTCCTACTCACAAAACTGTGTGGTATCTTTCTTAAATCTCTTGGCACCATGACCACTTCATTGAGATGTTGTTGTTATGGTGCTGAGAGTGTATGTTTGACACTGCCGAATTGAGACAGACACTCTAAATAACAAATAAGAGGAGTTTGTTTTATGTGCCAGTAAAAGCTGTAAGCTGTGTAAAACCATAAACCAAAGGGGCTGCACCCATAGCTTCCTTGCACCATAATTTCTACAATAAAGCATAATGGATGCAGTTCTTGGGAGTATTCGTGTAAATTAATAGGGAGTATTTTATCACTTTCTGAACTCAACTACTTTAGTAACACTCGAGGTAGTTACAATTTTGACTTAAAGGACCACTATAGGCACCCAGACCACTTCAGCTTAATGAAGTGGTCTGGATGCCAGGTCCAGCTAGGTTTAACCCTTTTTGCTGTAAACATAGCAGTTTCATAGAAACTGCTATGTTTACCTATCGGTTAATCCAGCCTCTAGTGGCTGTCTCATTGACAGCCGCTAGAGGCGCTTCCGCGCTCCTCACTGTGATTTTCACAGTGAGAAGACGCCAGCGTCCATAGGAAAGCATTGAGAATGCTTTCCTATGGACTGGCTGAATGCGCACACGGCTCTTGCCTCGCATGCGCATTCAGCCAGGGACGTCAGAAGAGGGAGGGAGCCCCGGCGCTGTAAAAAAAGGTAAGGGATTAACTCCTTCCTCCCCCTTCAGCCTGGCGGGAGTGGGACCCTGAGGGTGAGGGCACCTTCAGGGCACTATAGTGCCAGGAAAAGGAGTACCGTATATACTCGAGTATAAGCCGACCCGAATATAAGCCGAATCCGCGCCGGTCCGGTCAGCACCTCGGTCAGCTCCTAGTGTTAGTCTCGCGTAAGCCGCGGGGTCATAGTGCGGCTCTCGCGAGACTTACAGTGTGAGCTGAGAGAAGAGCTGCACGGACCGGCGCGGAGGAGGAGAGAGCTGACAGGAGCTGCAGGAGAGGTAAGTAACAGCTCTGCCAGCCCCCAGTCTGTATTATGGCAATGTAAATTGCCATAATACAGACAGTGACTCGCGTATAAGCCGAGTTGGGGTTTTTCAGCACAAAAAATATGCCGAAAAACTCGGCTTATACTCGAGTATATACGGTATGTTTTCCTGGCACTATAGTGGTCCTTTAAGTGTATACTTTATATGTCATTTAAAAGACCACTCTAAGGTTAAAAATAAATATATATTTAGTTTTACTGATGCTCGACCTTTAAAAAAGAAAATAATTAAAAAAAATGAAAAACAGTCTTCTTGCAGCAGCCTAATCAGCCTCTTCTGAAATCATCATGATGGAATACATCCAGGTTTAATATTTAAAAGAGGGAATTCTGATCAACTGCCAGGGGAATTACAAATTTAATTCAGCCACTGTGACATACCTCTTTAGGGATTTATATTGCAAATAAACAAAGCATACCTTCTTTCTTCACGGTAACATATAATTTTATAACAAGACACGGAGGCTCATATTGCATATCCCTTTCTTTACTGTCCACCAATAGCAGCAAAAAATAATGAACATGCAGTAACATAGGCCTCTCCCCGCTCAGGTCCCAGTATAATAGGCAGCACTTCCCTTCCATTTCCCTCTTTCTTTGCTGCTCCGACTCACCTTTTCTCCTCTTGATATTATTCTATTGTATTGTTTTCTCTCATCTCATTGATTTTTTATTATACAGTTACTTACTGGTAACTGGTAGTATACTGTATTATTTTATATTTATTTTTCATGTCTAGTATTATACTCATGTAATTTTTATATTGTATTGATTTTATTTTGGATGTCTTTTATCCTCTACATTGGCTTCTGTGTGTTTTGTTTCTCACACTTACCCAGGGTCCAGACCTTCCCTGTCACTCTATTCTGCTGTACTCTAATCCTTCCTCTCCTTCTGTCCTCCCTGCACCTCAGCGCCATTGTGCGCACGTTTTCTCCCCTACCCGGCTGTGTATGCGCACAAATTAAGCCCATTCGGCTGATTCGCCACGCATACATACCATTCACAATTCGACAGACAGCGCGTTCGCCTGTTTGCCGTATTCGACTTTTTCATGCAAACGGCCCGTTCGCCTACTCTACGTTTTTCCTTATACTTACCTATCTGGTTCCCGAATTCACCTTTTACCTACCGAACGTTCGTTTTTTTGCCGCAAATCCCGCTAGATTACTGGCGGCCATTTTCTGACTTCCTGTCTTCTTTCCTACCCTGCATCTGAGTGTGCCACTGGTCTGGGCCCTGGTGAGATCGTTTTTTGTTTGGCTATTGCTGTTTGGGTGACTAACCCATACTATTCCTTCTACTTACTAGGGATTATTCTCTGGCTATTCTACCATGCCTAAACCCAGACTATCTTTTGGTTCCACTCCCTCTGGGGAGTTTATACCCCACTCAATATGAGTGAGGCCCCTGTCACCCCAGGCAACTCGCCCACTATGACAGATGGAACTACCCACCTTGATGGCGCACAGTTCTTAGCGCTACAGCGCTCAGTGACAGACGCTATTATGGCGGCCATGGGGTCTATGTCCTCTACCCTCTCCCACACCATTTCACAGGCCCTCCTGCCACATCCTTCGGACGAGCAATACTCGGGCTCCACGACGCCCCTAACGCTTCCCATTGTGAACCCACAGGGATAGATATATAAAAAGGCTATCCATAAGTCTAAACATCCATCTGCCTCCAGAAACACCATGACTGGCATACCTACGGTCGCCCCAGAAAGTGTGCCCCATCCACGCAAAAGAGCCTTTCAACGCCAGGCAGAACGGGTGCGGCTATGGAAATGTGCCTGAGCACAGTTAGAGAGCGACTCCGACTCAGAAATCAGGTCAAATGAGGAGGCTAAGACTGAGTCGGACAGTGACTCTGATGCGGATGCCGCTGATACAGGCTTTGACCTGCTTTCCTCTGCTCAAGCAGAGATGCCCGGAGGTGATACAGGGATTAGGAACCCCGCGGCCGCGGGGTCCACCCTGGTGGATCCGTCGGGTGTCCCACTCTTCGACCCGGATGACCTACACCATCCGAGATCGACAGAGGGGCTCCCGGCCGACCATGTTGCCACATATCTAGAGAACTGGGTCAGACGACTCCTGAGTAAAGCGGCCCGCAACAAATTGAGGGCGGAGTGTCCTAGGCCTGTGGTGCCCAATAAAGTTTGCGACACTCCTGAGGTAGATCCCAAGATGACCCAGTTTCTCACTAAATTGGGCTGGAACCCCCGTAAGGGGCTGGAATCTGCATTAAAGTCCTGCCAGGATTAACACCTGGACATATTCGGCCCCCCGGCCAAATTATTTGACTTGGCGGAAGACGCCAGAGCGGAGAACCGCATGGTTGACCCCAAAGACCTACGTGGTTGGGTCCAGAGAGCAATATGTATTGCCGGGAGTGTGAATACCTCCCTATCAATAGAACGGCGAAAGACCATCCTATTTAAAATAGAGCCCAAACTGGCCAACCTCGCCCTCGCAGAGGCTGGCAAGGACGCCCAAGGATTACTCTTTGGAGACTCCTTTATTAAGGATTTAGGGCGTTTTGTTGGAGCATTCACATCCCTCGATAAGGCCCAGGCCTCCATGAGACGGGTTTTCCAGCGGCGGGTCTCCACCAGGGCCGGCAGATTCAGGAGCCGTCTGTCCGGCCATAATTACCCCCAATCCCGTGGCACGGGAAGAGGCTCCTTCTAACACCGTACGCAGTACCAGGAATCTAACACCTGTCCCACATTCTTCCCGTCACGCGGATATCCATGGCGATCCAGAGGTTTTCTGGGCAACTCAAGTTCCAGACGACCATACGATGAGTTACCTCATACCTCATACTTCTTCTCTGGTTTGTGTAGGGGGCAGACTCCAAGTTTTTTCCCAGCCTGGTCACAAATAACATCAGACCCCTGGGTGCTGACCACTATCCGGGGCTTCCACATAGAACTCATAGAACATCTGATACACATTCCCCCTCCTCGACCGATCTGCTTTTCGCTCCAGGATCGCAGACGGATCGACGAGGAAATCTCCACCCTTCTTATCAAAGGGGCTATAGAACGAGCACCTCCCAATCCCGCAGGTGTCATAAGCAACATTTTCCTGGTGGAAAAGAAAGGCGGTCAATTGAGACCCGTCATAAATCTGCGCGCCCTCAATGCCATAGTCAGGTACCGCCACTTCAAGATGGAAGGTATTCACCTACTAAGGGATCTTCTGCTCCACAGAGATTGGCTAGCGAAGCTAGATCTCAAAGATGCGTACCTGACGGTACCGATCGCGGTGGCATCTCGAGACCTCCTACGCTTTCACTGGCGGCACGAGACTTAGCGGTTTACCTGCCTACCCTTCGACCTCTCCTCAGCACCGTGGTGCTTCACGAAGCTACTACGGCCTGTGATGGTCTGGTTACGCAGTTGAGGAGTTCGGCTAATCGTTTACCTAGACGACATTCTCCTCATGGCTCAAGAGCGTTCTACCCTCCTTACACATCTACGGCTGGCCATAAGCCTCCTTTCCGCTTAGGTTTCATTATCAACTGGAAAAAGTCGTGCCTAACCCCAGCCACTCACATGGAATTCCTAGGATTCCTTGTGGATTCGGGGGAGGCGACGCTGAGCCTCCCGATTTCCAAGATTCGTTCAATCTGCAAGGAGTTACGCAGGGCCCTCATCTGGCCCCAGCTCACCTTGCGCCAGCTTGCACGACTCATCGGCCTACTGGATACAGGCAATGTTTCCGGGCCCGCTCCACTACCGAGCGCTACAACGCCTGAAGATCGCTCACCTGAGAGCCGGTGCATCCTACGTGGACCTGGTGTCACTGGACAGCGAGACGAAGGACGAATTGCGATGGTGGATTCTCAACCTGTCCGCATGGAACGGCAAAGCCATCTTCGGCTCAATGCCAGAATTCACGATCGACTCAGATGCGAGTCTCCACGGCTGGGGGGCCCACTGCAAGGAAGTTTCAACAGGAGGCCGTTGGTCGGAATCCGAATCCCGGCTGCACATCAACGCACTGGAACTCCTGGCAGGCTCCTTCGCCATCCGCAGTTTTGCCAGGGACCGAGCCCTAACATGCATTTGGCTCCGCATGGACAACGTCTCGGCGGTGAGATATGTCAACCACCTGGGCGGCAATCTTGGCCAGATTGGCGAAAGACTTTTGGGAATTTTGCCTGGAACAGAACCTGATGGTCTACGCAGAATACTTACCTGGCCTGCACAACGTTCAGGCGGACTGGGGATCAAGGTATCTTTCAGACATCAGCAACTGGAGATTGGCCAAGGAAGTGTTCTCCAGTATATCGTCTCTTTGGGTACAATTTGCCATCGACCTTTTCTCTTCCCGGCTCAACGCCCAACTGTCACGCTTCTTCGGCTGGAGGCCAGATCCAGCGGCGGAGGCAGTGGACGCCTTCCTGCGAGACTGGAGCAGAGGCCTCCTAATGCTTTTCCCCCGTTCTCCATGATCCCGGGTAGAGGATTAAAGTCCTGCCAGGATTAACACCTGGACATATTCGGCCCCCCGGCCAAATTATTTGACTTGGTGGAAGACGCCAGAGCGGAGGCCAGATCCAGTGGCGGAGGCAGTGGACGCCTTCCTGCGAGACTGGAGCAGAGGCCTCCTAATGCTTTTCCCCCGTTCTCCAGAGCGGAGGCCAGATCCAGCGGCGGAGGCAGTGGACGCCTTCCTGCGAGACTGGAGCAGAGGCCTCCTAATGCTTTTCCCCCGTTCTCCATGATCCCGGGTAGAGGATTAAAGTCCTGCCAGGATTAACACCTGGACATATTCGGCCCCCCGGCCAAATTATTTGACTTGGCGGAAGACGCCAGAGCGGAGAACCGCATGGTTGACCCCAAAGACCTACGTGGTTGGGCCCAGAGAGCAATATGGAGACCAGAATACGAAACATGGTGACCCTCTTTTGGGAAACACAGTCGTGGTTCCCCCAAATGCTCGAGATGACGATGGACCATCCCCGACTACTGCCAGAGTGCAGAGTGCCGATGGGACGATGTCACCCCCTCCGGTTGGAAGGCTCCCTCCCACTCCTGGCATGGCGGATCTCAGGGGACCCTGGGAGATCCAAGGAGTTTCGGACATGACTAGACGACTGTTGGCGGAGGCATGGGCTCCCGGCACTAGACGGGCAAATGGATCAGCTTGGCGAGCTTGGGCTAGCTGGCGCATGGCTAGGAACGCAGATCCCGTTTCGGCCTCTGTAACCATGGTCCTGCAATTTCTGACGTCCCTCTTCGAGGCTGGGAAGGCTTACAGGACTATCAACCTTTACCGGTCTGCCATCTCGGCGATTGACCAAGGCTTCGACGGATGTCCCGCGGGACAGCATCCCTTAGTGTGCCGACTCCTCAAGGGCTCTCGATTCTCCTGACCACCCAGGCCTCGCTACTCCACGACCTGGGACGTCTCCGTTGTGTTGGCCTTCCTCTCATTCTGGTCCACTAATTCAGGGCTCTCCTTAAAACAACTATCTGCCAAGTTGGTTTGCCTGCTCTGCCTTGTCTCATGCAAGAGGGTCTCGGATGTCAGAGTTCTGGATTTCGACACCAGGTCATATACCCCGGACGGGTCTCCACCAGGTCGCGGACTAAGACTTCTATCAAATCGGTATCCTAACCTAGTTTCCCTACCTCTCTGGCATTATGTCCAGTGGCCTGCCTACGCGAATACGAAACTCGCACCAACCCTCTCCACAGCTATTTTTATCCTTTCGTCCTCCTTTCCAGCCGGTTTCTAGCACAACCTTGTCACGCTGGGTGAAGTGGCTATTGTCCCAGGCAGGCATTGATACCACGGTCTTTAGCGCCCATTCGGTCCGGGGGGCCTCAGCCTCTTCGATGATGACTGCAGGCATGCGTCTGGAGGACATTATGAGGACGGCCGATTGGTCAAGGGAGTCTACGTTTCGGGAATTTTACTTTCACCCAGCCCCACATACTTTCGCTGCGGTAGTGGACCTGCTTTAAACTTGCAATATGAGCCTCCGTGTCTTGTTATAAAATTACATGATTTTGCTATTACATGACGAAAAGTCATGATTTTATTAAAGACACGGAGGCGAGTATTGTCTCACCCATATTATTCTTCTACGGTTATAATACTTTTCCCACCCAGGTTTAATGCACACTACAACAAACCACATCGAATGGTTTTGTACGGTAAGTGGGGCCATGCTGCGAGAATGATGTTTATGTAACTTAATGGTAAATCACTCTTATATTGTGGGACTGTATATATGTGGGTTTTTTCTCACCGGTTTAACCTTGAAATTAGTTGCAAGTATCGACTTTAACCTGTCAGCTCCTGTTCCTTTATGTTTTCACAGCCTAACTCGACAAGATGGCAAGCAGTCATCCGACTTATGAGGACTGCCCCCGCTGTTATCCGGTGGTCCTATGAATCCTATGGTCAAGCTTCCCGGTTGCTGATGTTCTACCCTCTTCAGTTGTAAGTTGTTACCTTGGGACTTTCTCACAATTTTTGGTTTGGACATTTTTACCATGGTCGCATCTTCAGAAAGAGGGAAATGGAAGGGAAGTGCTACCTATTATACTGGGACCTGAGCAGGGAGGGGCCTATGTTACTGTATGTTCATTATTTTTTCATTCTGTTTGTATTCTTTGCTGCTATTGGTGGACAGTAAAGAAAGGGATATGCAATACTCGCCTCCGTGTCTTTAATAAAATCATGACTTTTTCGTCATGTAATAGCATAATCATGCAATTTGCAATTCCCTTGTCAATTTTCCATAATTTCAAATTTGATTAATACATGTTTATTTTATGCAAAGGTTTTATATACCAAGTCCTGCACATTGCGAATTCCTTATAATTTTCTACTATTATAAATGTATTACATTTTCTTTTCAAGCGCATTCATTGTTAGAGGGTGAGGGACATATTTTGTTTTTAAGAGCTTTTCTGGGAAACTCCCACCCTACCTGAACAAAATGCTTTCCCCAGCTGTTCCCACTTCCTATAAGCTCCGATCCAGTACCAACACTTTACTTAGTCTACCTAAATACAAAAAGAAAGCGGCCCGATCCTCCTCCTCCTATAGAGCACCGCAATTGTGGAACGACCTCACGCACAATTTTAAATCTTCCCTAAGCCTAAAGTCCTTTAAGAGATCCCTCTCTACATACCTCAAAACAGAATGCACGTGTCATGGTTGATTATATATTTCCTGCCTGTTCTATGTTAAATTTTGTATATATTGTGTATTAATATTGTTTTTGTATTTTGTTGTACCCTAATGTAACAATGCAATGATTTGTGGACCCAGGACATACTTGAAAATGACAGAAATCTCAATGTATCTTTCCTGGTAAAATATTTTATAAATAAATAAATATTGCATGCGTAATTTTTACAGCATGTTCTTCATTATGTCACATTACATATGGAGAGGGATAGTTCAACTTTTTAAATAAATTCTTGTGATTAATTTCTCTGTGCCACTATCACATGGTAGAGTCTGTGTGTGTTTAATTATTTTTGTTATTAGACTTATAGAACTCCAACATATTCTGCAGCATTACATTACAATTATAGAATGGGGATGACGAGTAATTGACATACAAATACAGGGAGTGCAGAATTATTAGGCAAATTAGTATTTTGACCACATCATCCTCTTTATGCATGTTGTCTTACTCCAAGCTGTATAGGCTCGAAAGCCTACTACCAATTAAGCATATTAGGTGATGTGCATCTCTGTAATGAGAAGGGGTGTGGTCTAATGACATCAACACCCTATATCAGGTGTGCATAATTATTAGGCAACTTCCTTTCCTTTGGCAAAATGGGTCAAAAGAAGGACTTGACAGGCTCAGAAAAGTCAAAAATAGTGAGATATCTTGCAGAGGGATGCAGCACTCTTAAAATTGCAAAGCTTCTGAAGCGTGATCATCGAACAATCAAGCGTTTCATTCAAAATAGTCATCAGGGTCGCAAGAAGCGTGTGGAAAAACCAAGGCGCAAAATAACTGCCCATGAACTGAGAAAAGTCAAGCGTGCAGCTGCCACGATGCCACTTGCCACCAGTTTGGCCATATTTCAGAGCTGCAACATCACTGGAGTGCCCAAAAGCACAAGGTGTGCAATACTCAGAGACATGGCCAAGGTAAGAAAGGCTGAAAGACGACCACCACTGAACAAGACACACAAGCTGAAACGCCAAGACTGGGCCAAGAAATATCTCAAGACTGATTTTTCTAAGGTTTTATGGACTGATGAAATGAGAGTGAGTCTTGATGGGCCAGATGGATGGGCCCGTGGCTGGATTGGTAAAGGGCAGAGAGCTCCAGTCCGACTCAGACGCCAGCAAGGTGGAGGTGGAGTACTGGTTTGGGCTGGTATCATCAAAGATGAGCTTGTGGGGCCTTTTCGGGTTGAGGATGGAGTCAAGCTCAACTCCCAGTCCTACTGCCAGTTCCTGGAAGACACCTTCTTCAAGCAGTGGTACAGGAAGAAGTCTGCATCCTTCAAGAAAAACATGATTTTCATGCAGGACAATGCTCCATCACACGCGTCCAAGTACTCCACAGCGTGGCTGGCAAGAAAGGGTATAAAAGAAGAAAATCTAATGACATGGCCTCCTTGTTCACCTGATCTGAACCCCATTGAGAACCTGTGGTCCATCATCAAATGTGAGATTTACAAGGAGGGAAAACAGTACACCTCTCTGAACAGTGTCTGGGAGGCTGTGGTTGCTGCTGCACGCAATGTTGATGGTGAACAGATCAAAACACTGACAGAATCCATGGATGGCAGGCTTTTGAGTGTCCTTGCAAAGAAAGGTGGCTATATTGGTCACTGATTTGTTTTTGTTTTGTTTTTGAATGTCAGAAATGTATATTTGTGAATGTTGAGATGTTATATTGGTTTCACTGGTAATAATAAATAATTGAAATGGGTATATATTTGTTTTTTGTTAAGTTGCCTAATAATTATGCACAGTAATAGTCACCTGCACACACAGATATCCCCCTAACATAGCTATAACTAAAAACAAACTAAAAACTACTTCCAAAAATATTCAGCTTTGATATTAATGAGTTTTTTGGGTTCATTGAGAACATGGTTGTTGTTCAATAATAAAATTAATCCTCAAAAATACAACTTGCCTAATAATTCTGCACTCCCTGTATTAACAGAAAGAAGTGAAGAAGGGCCTGCTCAAACATAAAATGTATCCCGGGTAAGTATGCTTTATTTTGCAATGGCAAGTACATTTTAAGGCCTAGTTAGTAGGATAAGACTTAAAAATTTAAGATATATACATACACACGCAATTATGTCATCCTTATATTTACTTAGTTTGATTTTATTTATCTTTTACATTTCTTATCATTATAACAAAACAATGCTTTCTAACCAATAAAGAAAATCCTTTGTATCTAATAATTATAGATACCAGGAAGGGTATGTAAATTTTGATGGGGATGATAATCAAGGCTGCAGTTTTCAATTGTTTGAAAAAATATAAAACAATAGGGGGAGAGTGGAGGCGCAGAAGCTCTTACTTACCTAACCAGCAGCTCCCTTCAGCTCCCCTGTCTAAGTCTCCAGACTGCGAGATTTAGACAGGGAAGCTAAAGGGAGCTGCTGGGAAGGTAAGTAAGGGTTTCTGTGGGTCCCCACTGCTCAGTACATGCCACCGGACCACCAGTGATTGACATTTCCCCCTCCCTGGCCAAGTATGAAGCACGGAGGGGGGACTAAAAACAAAGTAAAAAAAAAAAATGCAATATTTAAATAAAAAATACAAATAATAAAAATGCCCTCCCCCACCCAGTTTACACACACTCTGCATTATATACACACACACTGCATTCATACAAACACACACACACTACACACACATATACACTCTGCATTCATTATATACACACATATACACTCTGCATTCATTATATACACACTACACACACACTGCATTCATTATATACACACACTGTAAATAAATATTCAAAAATATTTACCCCTTCAGGACGGAGTCAATAGTGCACATTCTGATCAAAACAAAACGTAAACAAAAACTGGAATTTGCGCTATATGTCCGTTCAACCGTAATTCACCTCTTTCATATTAAATGCACCCACACTTATTATATATCATTTTGTTCAGGAGAAACAGGGCTTTCATTTTATATCAAATATTTAGCTATGAAACATAATTTATTATGAATAAAATTTAAAAACTGTGAGAAATGTAAAAAAAGTTTTTAAATTTATAGTTCCGCCTCACATTTTAGCTGAAAATGTTATAATACTGTTAGGTTTTACAGCAAAAAAATGCACATATTTGTAATCAGCGATGTCTCAGGAGTACAACAGTACCCCCCATTAACAGGTTTTATGGTGTTTTGGAAAGTTACAGGGTCAAATATAGAACGTTCCATTTTCAAATTGAAATTTGCCAGATTAGTAATGTTACCTTTGAGATGGTGTGGTAGCCCAGGAATGAGAATTACTCCCATAATGGCATACCATTTGAAAAAGTAGACAAGCAAAGGTATTGAAAGTGGGGTATGTTTAATATTTTTTAGTAGCCACTTAGTCACAAACACTGGCCAAAGTTAGCGTTCATATTTATTTTTGTGTGAAAAAAGCAAAAAAACTAATATTTGTCCTGTGTTTGTGACTAAGTGGCTACTAAGAAAGACTGGACATACCCCACTTGCAATACCTCGGGTTGTCTACTTTTGCAAATGGTATGCCATCATGGGGGTAATTCTCATTCCTGGGCTACCATACGCTCTCAAAGGCAACATAACCAATCTGGCAAATTTCAATGTCAAAAAATGAAATGCAAGCCTTATATGTGACTCTCTAACTTTCCAAAACACCATAAAACCTGTACATGGGGGGTACTGTTATTCTCGGGAGACTTCACTAAACACAAATATAAAAAAATGCACAAAACGTCACTTTTACTTAAAATATCATCGTTGTAATACAATTTACCAGTTTGAAACACTAATATTTGAGTTCAGCTAAGTCTCCCGAGTAAAACAGTAGACAGGTAGACAGCCACTAGAAGTGGAGTTAACCCTGGATAGTAATTATTGCAGTTTCTCAATAACTGCAATAATTACTATTGCAGGGTTAAGGGACATTGCACCCAGACCACTTCAATGAGCTGAAGTGGTCTGGGTGTCTACAGTGTTCCTTTAAGCCTTCATTCGAAGCATTGATGTATCTACTAAACAGCAATGTTTTAGACTGAAGAGCTAAAAGCCAGAGGAACTGCACTTAGATCATTTCATTAGAATTAAAAGATTTGGGTACCTTTAGTGTCCCTTTAAATTTGTATTTAATTTTGAATTCCCGACAATTTTCAATTTAGTTAAAAACCCCTCCTATTGAATAAATTGACAAGGTTTATAACGGACATGGTTGATAAATTCAAATTCTGCACATATATAGCCCTAAATATATTGCACACACTTGTTTAGCCTTTTCTACAATGCTCCTGTTACTGACCTCAATCACAGCTCCACGTCTATAGTTTCATCAATGCAGATTAGGTCAAAGAGAGAGCATGGGACTGACAGCAATAAGAAACTATCGGCATAGCAAAGAGACTGTGTGAATATCAAAGTTATTGCAGAACACTTTAATTCTGGATGTCTGTGAACAAATACACGCATGCATACATAGAAAAAAAAAAGAGCACATGCAGGTCAAGTATTCAAGGAATTTATATATATATATGTACGGTATATAGATTTTGGATGATGGAATGATCTGACTGCAGTAACTAAAATGTACAAAATAACCTTTGGGCTTCAATATAAACAATTATTACATATTTTTGTCAAAGACAGTGACAGGCTTTCTGGACCGTTTGTATTTTTATACGAAAACTAGGTGGAATTTGTATATTTTGTAGGGATTGACGGATACTGATTTTTTTTTTAGAGCCGATACCGATAATCTGTGAACTTTCAGGCCGATATTCTGTTCATTTACCATTTTGAACAAATAAACTATTTCTAAAGGTAAATGCACAAAATATACATGCCACATGTAGTGGACGCAGTGTGTTTAGACAGGGGAGCTGTGTGTGTAGTGGATGCAGTGTGTATTTGTGTAGTATGTATATAATGAATGCAGTGTTTGTGTAGTGTGTATATGTAGACAATGCATATTGTGTGTGCTTGTGTAGTGTGTATAGTGAATGCAGTGAGTATTTATAGTGAATGCAGTGAGTGTTTGTGTAGTGTGTATATATAGTGAATGCAGATTGTGTGTGATTGTGTAGTGTGTATAGTGAATGCAGTGTGTGTAGTTTGCGTAAAGTGAATGCAGTGTGTTTATATAATGAATGCAGAGTGTGTGTATAGTGAATGCAGTGTGTTTGTGTAGTATGTGTGTATAATGAATGCAGAGTGTGTGTGTGCTTGTGTAGTGTGTATATAATACAGTGTGTGTGTTTGTATACTGTGTATATAATGCAGAGTGTGTATGTTTGTGTGTATATAATGCAGAGTGTGTGTGTGTGTTTGTGTAGGGATGTAATTTGTGCTTTAATTTTTTTTTAATATTTAATTTTTTTTTTTAATCCCCCCTCCCTGCTTCTTACCAGAGAGGGGGGATATAGTATTCCCTGGTGGTCCGGTGGCATGGAAAGTACAGTGGGGGCCCAGCAGCAAGCGCTTACTTACCTTTCCAGCAGCTCCCTTCAGCTCCCCTATGTAAATTGCGGGACTCGCAAGATTTACACAGGGGAGCTTAAGGGAGCTGCTTGGAAGGTAAGTAAGCGCTTGCTGTGGGCCCCCCAGGACCGCCGCGCTTGTCATGTGCCCGGCAGTCCTGGTATGTATTATTGGCAATATCGGCCAGACGGATAATCGGTCATATTTTGTTTTTGTTGTGTGTGTTAAGGGGATACCACATAGGTGTTTGAGTCTCACAAATCCGATCACACAGGGATTTTGTATGTTTATCTTATTTTGAAGTATGTATTTTTATACTGTTCTGACACAAAAGGTTTTACAAAACACACAATTACAGAGATGAAAATTCACTGCTGGATTTGCAAACAGATATTTAGGAAAGAAATACAAACAATGGCTTAGTAGCAATGGACAAATGCCAAGTTTCACGATGGGAGGATGCTGTTGAATTAAATCTCTCATCATTCTCATCCATCAATACACTGCCAAAGTTCCAATGAGGCACAACTCAAACTAACTCTCTCACCACTGGTGAGAAGAAACCAATCACTGGCAGACGAACTTTAGATTACGAGAGCCTGAATACCAAATGCAACCACCAGGTAAGACAGGAGCAGCTCTGGGGGCTCCAGTACCACAATTCCGGTCAGGAGTGTGAAGTGCAGTGGCGCCAAGCTCTATTCAGTCCACTACAGAAAAGCACAGCTACCCAGTATCCTGTGATGAGTCATACTTTGAAGGAACACTATAGGGTCAGAAACACAAACGTGTACTCCTGACCCTATAGTGTTAAAAATCCATTTTAGCTGCCCGGCCCCCCCTTGCCACCCTTGAATTAAAAAAAAAACTTGCCTTTATGCAGAGTCGCACAGGTCTGCCAATGCTGGCCCAACCCCTTGGCTGCCATCATCAGAATTGATGATCTCAGCCAATCCTATGCTTTCCCATAGGATCAATTCTGATGATCTCAGTCAAGGAGGCGTGGCGGAGCAAAAAACAGTCTGTCTTGGCCAATCACATCTCCTCACAAAGACACGTTGACTCAATGCATCTCTAAGGGGAAAATTCAGCATCTACATACAGAGCTTGGACCCAGGAAGCACCTCTAGTGGCCATCTGACTGAAGGTGTCCCTATGAAGCGTTTTATTTACAGCAAAAAGCCTGCAGGGACATACTATACACACCAGAACAACTACATTAAGCTGTAGTTGTTCTGGTGACTATAGTGCCCCTTTAATGTACTAAAGCAATGTAATGAACACAGTTTAAGGTTTTCTGCAGTGGATAAAAGACAACTCCATACAGCACTGCTCACATTAGATACCAGTGTTATGGGCAAATGCAAATATTACAAGTTTTAGAATGAAATGTTGTATTTCTTAAACTGTGTACTTTGTCTTTAAGAGATATTGCAAACTGACAAGGTGTTAGAAATGGAACATATTGTTTTTCATAACTGTTTCTTTAAGCAATACCCCAGTGCATAATATGTTTGCGCCATGTTGTCCCAGACTAATTACAATAACAATAATGCATAAACAAGCTTCAAGGCTATGCTACGGTGGTAACCTTAAGTAGATAAGGATGTCCAGACTTAAAGATGCCATCTTGAACTAAGTCAGGAAAGTTTCCATGACGTATGCACCCTTTAGTTATGGCCTTGTATGTTTGCCAAATTAAGGGAGGTCCTAAAATAAATAAAGTAAAAGAACTACGGTAACCCTAAAATGAAGACACCTAAGGTATAAATGTGTGTACTTTTAAATGTTAAGACACAGAGAAGAGACTTGGAGACAGACGCTGCTCCATCTTAAAATGACAGAGAGGCTGACATGATGACATGTTCAGAGGGGTATGTTAACCTATTAATGATATTTGCAAGCATGTAATTTAATCTTATAAACTCTGCTATAATGGATTTTATATGTCTATATTTATATTTTTATATAATAAATATCTAAAAGACAAACCTATTGCTACCAATACAATCCTTATTTTATATTGTATTCTCAATTATGTATATATGTTAAATAGAGGATCTCTTACTAACTATATAAAATTATGGCTAAGATATCTGTATGGTTAGCCCTACTAAGTTCTATGCTTTAAGACATTAAAGTGGTAAATAAAGGAACCACCTGCGGTTACACCAGGGATGATGCCACCACCTGCTTGTAAAGGTAAAAGCATAGCACAGAAACATAGGAGACCATAAGAGACCAAATAAGGGAGGAAAATTTAAAGAAAGAAGGTAGTGAAAATGAGAGGAGCTAGTCATGTAGGTTGATGGGGAAGCGATATAGTGAGGAAATAAATGCAGCAATGATCTGCCACTTTCCTCCACATGTAAAAATAGTCCTCTTTATGTCCATTTGGATGTAGAGCACAGGGACCAATGACATGGGGCAGAAGTTGGAAAATAACTTAGAATGGGAAAAGTGTTACAATACATGCTCGGTTGTTCACACACAGTGGCCTTCCCCTGCATGCAAATGCTCGTGATCCACTGCATACCCCTGTATTCATACATGTGCACATTTTTCCTACAAACACAAAATATTGCATAGTGCAACAAATTCCCCTTTTGAACACATTTATAGTGGCAGGAACATTTAAGCCGGAGTCTGTACTTTAAGCCCAGAAATTAGGCATTGCGAGACGTGCTTGCTGCTACTTCTACTTGCATAGTATTCACATACATGGGGGGTTAGGGTTGAAGCATTTAGGGAATCTCTCTTTGTGCGAAGCTGCCTATTCTTCAACTGGTTACTGGTAAATGTCCATAACCACTCGAAGACTAATTTTTTTTTTTCTCATAGATGCAAATCTTTGGCTGCCTGTCTATGTGATAAGTATAATTTCCACTATGCATAACCAGCCAAAGGATGAAGGATAAAAAGCCAAACAAATGTTGGTAGTTTTTAGATACATTTCCCAAAGTGCACAACCATCCAAATCAGCTGCAGATAGCTAACCAGGTCTCTTAGCGAACCAAATTATATGGCTAACAATGGCTAGCGAGTAGATGTTTAGCTGATATTGTTTACATTTATTATGATGGCTAGCCTGTGGCAACTTTAGTTGTTGTGGAGAACATATCTGATGATAACTAACCAGGAGCAGCCTAGTTGTTATGGAGAACACTTCTGATGATGCTGACTGATCTGTGGCATGCTAGTTATTCTGAAATACATATAAGATGATACCTAACCTGTGGCAGCCTAGTTGTTATGGAGTACATTTATTATAATTAACCTGTGGCAGCGTAGACATTATGGTAAACATCTTGTAATGGCTAACCTTTGTCAACCTAGTTATTACGGAGTACATTTATTATGACTACATTTATCCTGATAATTAACCGGTGGCAGTCTAGTTATTTTTGAGTACATTTCTGACGATGCTTAAACCTGCCAGATGATGATGGCTAACCTGTGGCAGTCTAGTTATTATGGGATACATTTCTAATGATTGCTAACCTGTGGCTGTCTAGTTCTCATGTAGTACATTTCTAATGATTGCTAACCTGTTGCAGTCTAGTTATTAGTGAGTACATTTCTGGTGATGTCTATCCTGCGGCAGTCTAGTTGTTATGGAGTACATTATGATGATGGTTAACCTGTGGCAGTCTAGTTGTTATGGTATATATTAAGATGATGGTTAACCTGTGGCAGTCTAGTTGTTATGGTATATATTATATTATAATGATGGTTACCCTGTGGCAGTCTAGTTGTTAATGTATATATTATGATGACGGTTAACCTGTGGCAGTCTAATTGTTATGGTATATATTATAATGACGGTTACCCTGTGGCAGTCTAGTTGTTATGGTATATATTATAATGACGGTTACCCTGTGGCAGTCTAGTTGTTATGGTATATATTATGATGATGGTTACCCTGTGGCAGTCTAGTTGTTATGGTATATATTATAATGACGGTTAACCTGTGGCAGTCTAGTTGTTATGGTATATATTATAATGACGGTTACCCTGTGGCAGTCTAGTTGTTATGGTATATATTATAATGACGGTTAACCTGTGGCAGTCTAGTTGTTATGGTATATATTATAATGACGGTTAACCTGTGGCAGTCTAGTTGTTATGGTATATATTATAATGACGGTTAACCTGTGGCAGTCTAGTTGTTATGGTATATATTATAATGATGGTTACCCTGTGGCAGTCTAGTTGTTATGGTATATATTATAATGACGGTTACCCTGTGGCAGTGTAGTGGTTATGGTATATATTATGATGACGGTTACCTTGTGGCAGTCTAGTTGTTATGAAATATATATTGAGAAGACGGTTAACCTGTGGCAGTCTAGTTGTTATGGTATATATTATAATGATGGTTACCCTGTGGCAGTCTAGTTGTTATGGTATATATTATGATGATGGTTACCCTGTGGCAGTCTAGTTGTTATGGTATATATTATGATGATGGTTAACCTGTGGCAGTCTAGTTGTTATGGTATATATTATGATGATGGTTAACCTGTGGCAGTCTAGTTGTTATGGTATATATTATAATGATGGTTACCCTGTGGCAGTCTAGTTGTTATGGTATATATTATGATGATGGTTACCCTGTGGCAGTCTAGTTGTTATGGTATATATTATGATGACGGTTACCCTGTGGCAGTCTAGTTGTTATGGTATATATTATGATGACGGTTACCCTGTGGCAGTCTAGTTGTTATGGTATATATTAGAAGACGGTTACCTGTGGCAGTCTAGTTGTTATGGTATATATTATAATGATGGTTACCCTGTGGCAGTCTAGTTGTTATGGTATATATTATGATGACGGTTACCCTGTGGCAGTCTAGTTGTTATGGTATATATTATGATGACGGTTACCCTGTGGCAGTCTATATATTATGATGATGGTTACCTGCGGCAGTCTATGTTGGTGGTATATATTATGATGATGGTTACCCTGTGGCAGTCTAGTTGTTATGGTATATATTATGATGTTGTGGTTACCCTGTGGCAGTCTAGTTGTTATGGTATATATTATAATGATGGTTACCCTGTGGCAGTCTAGTTGTTATGGTATATATTATGATGATGGTTACCCTGTGGCAGTCTAGTTGTTATGGTATATATTATGATGATGATGGTTACCCTGTGGCAGTCTAGTTGTTATGGTATATATTATGATGTTGATGGTTACCCTGTGGCAGTCTAGTTGTTATGGTATATATTATGATGTTGATGGTTACCCTGTGGCAGTCTAGTTGTTATGGTATATATTATGATGATGGTTACCCTGTGGCAGTCTAGTTGTTATGGTATATATTATGATGACGGTTACCCTGTGGCAGTCTAGTTGTTATGGTATATATTATGATGACGGTTACCCTGTGGCAGTCTAGTTGTTATGGTATATATTATGATGACGGTTACCCTGTGGCAGTCTAGTTGTTATGGTATATATTATGATGATGATGGTTAACCTGTGGCAGTTAACCTGTGTGCATTAAAGGAAGCCTAGCCTAGTGCCTAGCCCACAGCCGGAGTGCAGGAGCTCAGTGCTGACTGACCCACAGTGTGGGGGTCTCTGAGACCCCCATTTATTGCCTACAGACACCGCACACACCTTCTCTCTGCAGCGGGCAGGGGGAGGGCCTGGGGGCGGGGCCTTGGCTGAGGGACACTGGCAGACTCCGCGTTATCGCTCGGACAGAGCCCAGACATGAGGAGTGAGCACAGAGCAGGCCTGCGGGATGGAGCCCGGGCGGTTACGGGTTGCAATGTTACTCACTGCAGGGAAAACGTGAGATCACAGCGCCCGGAGCTGGCAGACACACAGCGATCCCATCTGCATCCTTCTCCTAGCCCGGATCCTGATACCCAAAGAAAATATCCTTCCGCCCGCTGTAAAGAACGGGGACAGCGTGATGCGGCTCACGCAAGCTTGAGGGAGAAGGTCTCAGCACGTCATCAGCGTCATTGTATCCTGGTGCTTCTCAGTATATAGTTCGTGGTACATGAATGGCATAGTTTTTGGGGTTTTTTTCTCTCCTCCATCATTTTGTGGAGAGAAACTTCTAAGAATGCTTACAACTATTTCAAAAACATATATGATAAAATAAAAAAAAATCTAGAAAGAAGGTTCTATCCCTTAAAATCTCAATTTAATTGGTATTATTGATGGTTAGGGTAGCAGCTTTATCCCAAAGTTGTCTTGAGTATTGCAATGGTTATTAAATGGAAATTGTTTTGGTTTTAATGAGATTTACCCTGAGAGTGGCTATGATTGACATTACACTTATTATAATGGGGATTTTACAGATCAAGTGAATAGCAGTGGTTAAATTAAAAATAAATATTGTGATGGGTGATACAGTGATGGGGTGTGTAGTGTCTTCTTTGGTGCATATAGCACTTGTAATTTAAAGCGCATTGGTCGTGTTTGCGTATCCAATACCAGAACTGCAATGACATTTCCAAATCAGCTGATTTGACCTTAATTTTGATATTCCTTAGCTAATTCCTGTCAGTTCACGATTTAGTGAAGAAACCCAGGGTTATTTAATCAATCCTAAGAATTGAGGTAAATCGACAGAGAAGTTTAAAAAGGTTTGGCCAAAATGGCTTTACTGTACTTTAGAACAAAAACAAAGTTGTTGTTTTTTTTTGTTTTTTTTTGACAATCTTAATTTAGTCAAGTATTTAGAAGGAAAGAGTAGAGATGTATAGTTAAGTGCGTCAAATAAATTCATGACACCATAACAGGAATTTACAGTGATACAGCATTCAAAGATGATTTTGCCATCAATTTGCGCAAACCTTTAATGAACTAGGGCCTACCTAACAGGCTTCTAATTGGTTACAACTGAAAAAGCTAGAACCTTGAAACCCATCCTCATTATTATTATTATTATATAAAAGGTCCAATTAAGTCCACAGCGCTGTACAATGAATAGGATGGAACCAATCCTGGGTCAATATTATCTCAGCATACCTCCCAAGTGTCCCAACTTATTTAGTAGAGACAGTCTCTATTTCATGCCAAAATCCCACTGTCCCTCTATTCTAGGAGCTACATAATGTTGGTATGTCTAAGTGTATAACAGAATCTCATAAATGTGTTTAGATATAACCCCCACTCACACTCTTAAAATGAAAGGGCCCCTCTTTGACCATTTAAAATGTTGGGAGGTATGTCAGGCATCTTCTGTCTAACAGAAAGTATCACTGTTATAGATTGAATAGCAGTTAGTTGTCTCAAAGCGGGTGTGTCAGCCCTACAGCGTGTACTCTGCCAGTTCACAGTGCCACTCATATCTGGTGTCATAATAGCTTGCATTTAAAAACAAAAAACTTTTTTCACTGTTATAGATTGAATAGCAGTTAGTTGTCTCAAAGCGGGTGTGTCAGCCCTACAGCGTGTACTCTGCCAGTTCACAGTGCCACTCATATCTGGTGTCATAATAGCTTGCATTTAAAAACAAAAAACTTTTTTCACTGTTATAGATTGAATAGCAGTTAGTTGTCTCAAGCGGGTGTGTCAGGCTCTGGTGATACTGTGCCAGTGCCACCACTCACTCACTGATGTCACAATAGCTTGCATTTAAAACAAAAACTTTTTCACTGTTATAGGTTGAATAGCAGTTAGTTGTCTCAAAGCGGGTGTGTCAGCCCTACAGCGTGTACTCTGCCAATTCACAGTGCCACTCATATCTGGTCTCACAATAGCTTGCATTTAAAAACAAAAAACTTTTTTCACTGTTATAGATTGAATAGCAGTTAGTTGTCTCAAGCGGGTGTGTCAGGCCTACAACGTGTACTCTGCCAGTTCACAGTGCCACTCATATCTGGTGTCACAATAGCTTGCATTTAAAAACAAAAAACTTTTTTCACTGTTATAGATTGAATAGCGGTTAGTTG